TTTTTGTTAAAAAATTATAATCAAAGAAATTCTTTTTTTTTTTGTCATTGTGGATAATAGACATTTCTGATTTCTCCCTTCTTCTTCTTTATGGTTGTGCTGTTTCCATAGAGGTGCAGGATTTTAGATGAACCACAGTGAGTAAAAATGTGACAGGAGGAGACCAAATTCTAAAAAAAACAAACCCCAAAACTCAGAAACTGCTTGGGTTTAAGGGGGTCATGTTTTATTTTATAGGTTTATTTCTTTTATTTTTTTTAAAACCTGTTCTGTACTGCAACTTGGACAAATAGTGTGATAGATACCGAAATTTGCTCTGCAAGGGAGAAATCTGAGATACTTCTCCTGTAGCATGATTTTAGATTTTATTTCTTATTTTGTGAGATGACCGGACCAGAACAGGGTACAGGGTAAATAACAGAGATAAAGAAGAATAGCGGAATGGGGGGACGTGGGAACAAGAGAAGGGACCAGGCAAGGGGAGAACATAACAACAACAACAACAACAACAACAACAACAACAGCATGGAGACATCATCAGTAAATAATTACCGGAGTTACAAGCTGTGATGGAAAAAAATAATGCAACGTATTTGGCCAATCAATCAACTGTGAATGACAACATCACTAATAATAGTGATGATTTTAATTTTAGAAAGTTGGTGTACCAAATACATGTGTGTGCGTGCGTGCGCTTGTGTTTGACCCTGAGACCGAGTTTTAGTGGGAGTCCACCGCACCCCCATTTGATCCCACCCCAGCCAGGAAGCAAGAACCCCAAACACCAGAGAGCCCACCAGCCCACGAGATCAGAAAGATCCACGGCCGAGCCCCCAGGATCTGACCCCCACAAGGGAGCACAGCAGGAAGCCACGAGGAGGAGGAGGCCCCAACCGGGGATGGACCAAGAGAGAGACGAGGCGATGACCAACCCCGAAGCCGGGCCAGAGCTTTTATGTCAGAGAAATGTGATCGACTAATTTCCACTCCACTTGTTTTTATAATGACGAGAAGTAAATGATCTTTAATTTAATTTAGAAAACATGTGGCTCTGAACACCTGCACGGATGCCTGCTGCTATTAAGTAATTCAGACTTTTGATACTTCATTTTTATGACTCTGCTTTTGTATTTTTTACTCAGGCAGGTATATTTATTTATTTATTCTTATTTTTTCGCACAGTATTATTGCTCTTTCACCTCACTACATGATGAGCCCTTCTTACAACGTTAAACATATTATCCAGAATCAGCGTTTTCAGCTCTTTGAACAGATATTCCAAGAAAACTTTGGAAAAATAACGAATTACTACAAAACCACAGCACAACACAGGAAACCATGTCCCATGTCCCATGTGTGACTCTGTGCATCATGCACTGTGCTGCCCTGTGTGTGTGTTTAGCATCAGTGCAACATGTCCGGACATGTCTTCTGCATTAGAGGAGCCTCACTTAGCCCTGGTTAAGTGTGCGGTGAGGATGCAGTGCAGAATGATGCTGGGATAATTGTTTGCTTGACACCCACCAGTTGCAAGGTAATGTGATTCATGTCTTCGCATTGTGGAGGAGATAGACCTTGAAAGATTTGCCCCAGAACCTACATTGGAATTTGTGTTGAGTATTTTTTGCAGTGAAGGTCACGCAGTGTTCTAACCTGCAGCAACTGGAGCCCACTTGAGTTTTCATGGTGTGTTTTTTTTTTTTTTTTGCTGAAAGCTGCTGTGAGTAAGAAAGAACACTGAGAGGCAACATGCAGGGAGGTCTGTGAGTTTAAAATAGGGGAGATGTATTCATAATGTTTGTTTGTTTGTTGAGACAGTGGAGTGCTGCTGAACGACCAATATTACAAGTATTCATCCTGCTACTGTGCCACTCAGATCTTAAGCAAAAGTACCCATACCAAGGTAGAAATACTCTGTTACAAGTAAAATCCTGCGTTAAATTTATGCACAAGTGCCAAAAATGAAAGTATGATTATGCAGAATGGCCCTTTTTTAAAATAATGTAAGTAGCTGGGTTATAATTGTTGCTGCTGTTTACTACTTTTGTTGGAGGTGATCAAAGTAATTTGACGACTTTATATCTCCTGGGAAGCTGTGAATTTAATCCTAGTGATGAATAAAGTTGTCTTAATCTATAATATTATAAAATGTATGTTCATTAAAGTGTGTATGTTTAAACTAAATGTGGAAACTAAATTGTTAATGTAAAAGGACAATATTTGCCCCTTAAAATGTAATAGAGTAGAAGTACAAAGTAGCAGAAAAGGGAAATACTCAAGTAAAGTATAGAGACGCTGACAATCGCACTTGATGCCAGTGCTTTAGTAAATGTAAAAATGACAATGTTTGCCCCTGAAATGTAATTTAGTAGAAGTACAAAGTAGCAGAAAAGTAAAGTAACTCTTACAATCATCGTACCTGATGCCAATACTTGAGTAAATGTACTCAGTTACTTCCTGCAACTTAAGTAAAAGCATTTTTCTGTAGCTAAAGTTGCTCAGATTGAACAGACCTTAATAAACTTTGTAGTACTCCCTCTTATTTGTGCACTGCGCTGAGGAATGTTGCAGTTTGTAGTCATGTGGTTGCTCATAATAAAAGAACACATGCGGCAAAACCCCTCCGTCAGGTCGAACCACAATAATCAACATCCAGCAGTGTTCATTAGTTCCTGTAAGGATTCCAACAGCAGGGGCGGAGCCGAAGGGTGGCCAGCACAGATTAAAGCCTGGATCCCCTCGAAACCAGAAATACTGAGGCCCGTTAGCTGGCTGCACATATAAAACTCAAGTTACATATTGGATCTGCTGTTTTCTAGGAGGACTTTATCTGTGAAACTGTTTTTCCTGCAGCTGTTTTTATGCATTTAACAGTGCAGCAACCACAGACAACCAGAAAATGCTCACGCTGATTTTGCAGGAATTCAGAGATTGTTGAAGATTATTGTCAAGGAAAAGCCTTCAGACAGTATAAAAAATGAACCTGACTTTTCTAAAGTGGTTTGTTTTCATGAATCAAAGTGTGTTTGATTTAGATCTAGCTGAAGCTCTTGTGCAGACTCTTGAAGACTGTGGGGGGATGAAACCTACTTTGCTCTGGAAACAAGTGGTGCAAAACTGCTGAACGGTGCAAGACTGACCCAGAACCTGCAGCCAAAAGTAAGAAACAAAAGGGCTGGATGGACACAGTGTGATGTCCTAACTAGGCAGCTGCCCTGAGCAGAACAAGGACACTTTGACATAAGAATCTTACATGTGCTTCCAAATAAAACCCCCAAAAAGCATAACTTAAGCAACTATTTTAGCTTTTCAATCAATTGAGGGTTACTTTAGAATCAGTATACGTGTTGCATAAGCAAATGACAAGAGCAAGTGACCAAAAACATGACTATTTGGCCTACAGGGATTTAGTAAAATAAGAAATAAACTCGCGAGACATTGTGCCACCCTGACGTGAGTAATGGTCCCCGCCTGGCCAACCCCCCCCTTCCTATAAAAACTGTGGATCTGTGCTGAAGACTTTCTCTGCACACTAATGGAGCCACAAGACGAGATTTGAGAGTTGCGTCTTCGTGCAGTGTCACTCTTGATCTGCTCTGCACGGCGAACACTTTTTTTTTCCCCCGCCGACGTGTGAATTCTCACAAGAAAGCCCATTTCAGCTCACTTAGCCGACATTAATTCTGACCTTCAGTTTACAGCGAGCCGTTTCAAGGCGAGGAAATCTCTCGTAGATGCCCTTACAGCTTCACAGTGGGCCTCTGTCATGCTGCTGTGTAGTTCCTGAGGTTTTTTTTTTTACGTTGGCTTGGCAGCGTCTTTGTAGAAATATGAGTCACAGTGGGAAGATGAGGCTGTAGCCCCTTGGCAGGGAAGACGCACGGCACATGTTTTCCTCTCAGGTTCAACAGCTGGGGAAATGCAGCTTCTATACCTTCCAGCTTTCTGCAGAAACGTGCAAGGAGTCGTGCAGTGGTGTGCAAATCTGCAAGTTCAGTTTCACGTAATACTCTAAATGTTTGGTTCAGGATTTTAAAGAAAGTTTCGAGTCCCCCTCCTCCCCAGAGCCTCAACACTCCTCACTGAGCTCAGCGTAGCAGCAGCAGCAGCAGCGTTATGTCATTTGTTGTTTTCTGTGTGTTTTCTCCACTCTGCAGTCTCAGGAAGAAGGGGGACGCCCTGCTCGTCTCACCTGCAGAGGAGGAGATAGCTGCTGAGGTGCCTGTCTGCAAAAATCCTGGCTGTCTCTGCTGCGAGCTGCACAGGATAAGGAGGAGGCCTTTGGGTGAGGAGGGCCCCCCGGTGCCAAGTGGCTGGCTGGGTGGATGGCTGGGTGAGTGGATGGGTGGAGGGAGTGTTCCAGCAGCTCGGGGGGAAGCATCTCCAGGGAAGAGACCGGGGGAGGCCTGGGGGAGACCTGTGGCGGGTTGCTCCTGGAGTCACTACTCTGCAGCTGAATAGAGGCTGAGAGTGTAATTGCAGGGCAGCTCGCAGGGCAGATTAGGAGATTTTTGTCTCTGCAGGGAAAAAAAAAAAAAAAAAGAAAAACGCATATGAAAATGAACAAGCAGCGCCGCTGAGCAATTTAATCCTGCGTTGCATATGTGTGTGTGCATGTTGTTCACATTCATGCAGCATGTCTGTCTGAGCAAACCCTCTCTGAATCTCCCTCCCTCACCCTCCCGTCTGTTGCTGCCTCCCTCCTCTCCTCCCCTCTCCTCCCCTCCCTCCCTCTCTCTGTGTGAGCGTAGTCTGGGCGCCGAGCCAAGTGGAGTGTGTTTTTTTGAATGAATACCTGATGCGGCTGATGAGGCTGGCTGGGGGAGGAGCTGTGTCAGTGGAGTACTGAGAGCGAGAAGAAAGGGGAGGGAGGGATGTAGAGAGGAGGGGAGGTAAAGGGAGAGAGGCAGAAACACTCACTGAGCAAGAGAGAGAGAGAGAGAGAGAGAGAGAGAGAGAGAAGCAACCAGGCAGAGAGGGAGCTGGCGGTCTGGTGGCCTTGCATAACACACGTTGGAAGCAGCCTTTGCACGCAGGTTCTTGGTGTGAGCTCCAGCAGTGAGAGGGGGAACTTCCTTTTTTTTTTTTTTTTTTTTTTTGTTGTTGCTTGCAGAAGGGGGACAAGCGCACCGGAATCCACAGCAGAAAGAGCCGGAGCAGAGCTTTACCGGACCCACAAAGGGGCGAGAGATCCAGGAAGAGGAGTCCTAGGAAAAACCAGCACACATACACACTGACAGGCAGGAAGGATCCTTGGACATGCTCTGCAAGCAGTGGCTGTGGAGAGACTGGTGAGCTATTCTTAGTACTTTAACCAGAGGAGGGGGAGGAAGAGGAGGGAGGCGGTGGTGGCGGCAGTGGTGGTGGTGGTGGGCTCGCTTTTCTTCTTGATTTGTGGCATAGTAGTATTTTCTTGCTACTACACTCATGCTGTCATTCTAAAGCCCCCCCACTCATCCTTCCCCTTCCCCTTCCCCAGAGGCTACAGCATCTGTCCTCTCCCTCCCACCCCACCTCCCCAATCCCCTCAACCCCCCCACCAGATCACTGCAGGACTGACCCTGTTTGTTTGTGGCGAAGGATGGGGGGAGGTGGTGGTGGAGGGGGGGAGGAGGACGCTGGCCGTGTGCGACGTGATGAGCGGTGTGTCGAGCGGTGATGCAGAACTCTGGAGTCATTGTGAAGGCAAACAGCCCCACTCGCCTGTTCTTACTGTCTGCTTTAGTCTGCCACACGGCCGGTCCGCCTCTTAAAGGCACAGGAGCCGCTGTTGTTGCAGGGAAGGGGGACAGTAAAAATGGCTCTTTAGAATATTAGAAAAACACTGTACGGCTCCGCTGCGTGGCTACAGCTGGAGGGGGGTCGAGCTGAGGTCCTGTTTATGTGCAGCGATTCACACATATTGTCTCCCACAGTACCTCCACACACACCCCCTCCCCACCACCACCTCTCTCTCTTCATGCTTCATGCCAGAGCTCAGATTGATAATGATGTTTTTGTTTTCTATATATAGCCATTTGCTGTAGAGGGTATTCACTGAGTATCTATGACTGGTCTAGCAGGTGATGCATAGCAGTCTTGACAACAGGTTTATCACCTCAGGGTCATTGCATTTAGCTGTTTGTTTTTGTGTCACTGAATCATTTCTTTTTCTCTGCATAATCCCGCTGCAGAGGAATGTTATTGCATATGGAGCCGTGGATCAATGCAAAAAAAAAAAAAAAAGAAAAAAGGGGGGAAACAGCAGGAGCAAGAGAGGAGACTCTGTCAGAGGAGGAAGGAGGAGGTGGCAAGTGGTGCATAAGGGAGGAGATGTAACTCTGCTGGGGGGCCTCTCACCTGGAGACTGAATGAAATCATCTCCATCTCCGCACAGACAGGCTGCACAAACCTATTTCTGTGGTTTGTGTAGCTTTTTTTTTGTGTGTGTGCGTGCGCGTGTGTGTGTGTGTGTGGGAGTATGGAAACCGGATCACATGTACGGCTGGCTCCATCACTCCGTCTGAGCTGAAAAGCATCAACGCGACGAGCCGAAACAGAGAGCGTCCTGTCTGTTGTCATGCATGTCTCAGAGGTGTCAGTCCTCCCCGGGTCCTGACTCAGGAGCTCCCATGCTGTGTCTTGAAAGCTCGCCTTTGTTCTCCATAGTATCACATCGGGGGCCTTATGTTTGTTGCTGTCAGTGTTTCTAATAATAGGCTGGAAAATCTAGCGGCTGCAGAGAGTGTGCCGTGCGTCCAGGAAAGGAAAGAGACGCCTTCCTGTTTTAATGTGTTGACACTACTCAATGTGTGTGTGTGCGTGTTTTTTTTCTTTTTTGAAAATCCCGAGCTTTGTCTCCTACAATGATAGGAGGTCCTTGTGCTTAAAGATGTGATGTCATTCCAGTGTTGACACGGGGTTGTTGCTGAGGTGGGGTTGTTGCCACTGAGCGATGCTGCACAGCCTATAGCTCAGACTGTAGCGGCTGCCGATCGGGGGGGATCTCTCGGCAAGGCGGGGGCAATGGCGCTCTGATGCTGTAGGCGCTTGCTGCTCAATGTGGGTCAGGAGAAGCAGCGCTCCGTCTTCTCCCCTTCTTCCCCCATCCCTAATCTTCTTTCTCCCCTCACTCTCCTCCTTCTACATAGTTCTGTCTGTCATCTCGCATTGCCTTTTTTCTCCCTCTCCTCCCCCTCACTCTTCCTCTATCTTGTTTCTGTTTCTCTCTCCATCTCCTCCTTTGTTACATCTGGTGGATCTACCAGGCTGTACACTTAGATAGATTGCACAGAGGCTTTTGCTGCTTTTGGATGCAGTGACCTTGTCAAAGCTACTGTTGGAGGTAGATGTGTCTAAATAGAAAATGACCAAGGTCGCCTTCTGTTTGTTTTTTTTTTTTTCTCCCCCCCTCTTCTCTCTTTATGTAACGTGTCTGTGGTTGCCTGCTGTAGTGAATCTCTGGTGTGATGTGAAAATTGTCAAATAGTGCAGCTCCTCTGAGTGGAATATAGTGGGGGGGAGAAGAATGAATAGATGGATGTCTATGCCTGTGTTATATAGTCCGTTTTAGTGGTGCCTCTGGCTAATGAACAACTCAGAGTCCTGTGCATTGACCCACAGATAAGCCTGCAGGAGAGAAAAGTCACAGTGAAAAGGAAGCTGTGGAAAAAAATTTGTTCACGGGACGAAAAGAGCTGCATGTTAATGCTATAGGAATAATAGCTGAGCATTGATCGTGTTTCCTCGTGTGTGCATTCTGTAGCGATAGTATACAACAAGAGTTACTACACCCCCGTGAGTTCATCACTCAATAATTGCATTATTTTTAAGTTGACAAGTAAAGAGTTTTCTCTTGTGAACAATCCAAAAATACTTTCAGACGACTATATAAAAAAAGGGCCCCTGAGTAGAAATCACTGCAACAGAAGTAAATATACCCGTGATCACACAAGTTAGAAAACCTGTGATCACTGAAACTAAACTGATTAAACCAGTGATTCCCGATCAGCCCAGCTGCGTGAACAGGGTTCTAAAATGAGCTGCGAACACCAGAAGTCCTCGGTTTTGGATCTATGGGCTGTGTCTATCTGCATGTCTGCATCATGGCTTCCTCATTCATTTATCCATCCATTATCCATACACCGCTTTATCCTCACTAGGGTCATGGGGGGCTGGAGCCTATCCCAGCTGACTCAGGGTGAAGGCAGGGGACACCCTGGACAGGTCACCAGTCTATCACAGGGCTACACTTAGAGACAGACAACCAAGCACACTCACATTCACACCAGTTTAGAATCACCAATTAACCTCTACATGTTTTTGGAGACCCTGGAGAGAACTCACGCTGCACGGAGAGAACATGCAAACTCCACACAGAAAGATCCTGGTGCCCCCACCTTCTTGCATTACAATGCTACCAACTGTGCCACCTTGCAACCCGCTTCCTCATTCAGAAGAAGTGAAAACCTGACTGTGAGACTTAACAAAAATAGAAAAAAAAAAAAATACAGGAAGAAACACAGTTGCAACACTAATCAGGAGGTATAGAATGAACCATAGTACCACTAATCAGAGCTGCAGTGGTCGTCCTCCTAAATTGAAGCCACAGGTAGTGATATAGTTGAAGACTTTAGCTGTAAAAAACAGAGAGGCAAGTGCTTCAGACTTGGCACAGGGGTTATCAATGAAGATCAGAGTATCTGACAGGATATTGCATAATATCAACTTCTGTGGACGGCTTCCAAGAAAGGCACTCTTGCTTGCTGTTGGTAAAACAGAAATGCAAGATTAAACGTAGCTAAAGAACACGAAAAAGAAACCTGATAAGTGTTTGGAGAACATTCTTTGGTCAGAAGATACATTTGTTTGGCTCAAATGGAGTCCAGCATGTTTGGTGTGAACCTGACCAGGACCACCACAGTGGATGCATCGTCCTGACAGTGAAGCACGGAGGTGGCAGTAAGATGATATGAGTGCAAAAGGTGTTGGAAAGATGATAATTATAGATGAAATTCTGTGGATAAACCAGAATACAGGTTGACAAGACGACTCCCAGTCTGCAGAAGTTTGGAATATTCCAGCATGAGAACCATCCAAAGGACAAAATCACTGATGAGAAGAAAAAAGTGAATACTATGACCTGACCAGGTGTGCCGCCTGAGTTGAATCTAAGATAACACTTTTGGGGAATTTAACGACAAAGGTAGAGCAACACAAAACTAGTCAAACCATTTGTCCAGAAATGTGTGCAACACTGGTACCTTCTATGCCAACAAGGATTGAGTCTGTCATGAAAAAGTACAAGTTAAAAAAGTAATGACTTTACTTGCATTGAGTTCCCACTATGGGGCCTGTATTTTTAATCTAGTCAATCTAAACTGTTCATTTTTAATGTGACATAGAAGCAAATACCTTCTGTTCAGCTTAGAAATTCTACAATTATAATAGTGACACCACTTTATATTATCTGACCTTTAAGTGATATTGCACTGGGCTGTATTCACTTCTGTTGTATGCTGTATGGTATGTGAGCATGCATACCTACGTACACTAAATTAATCTGTATGTTTCAGTAACACGGCTGTCAAACTGTCAAAACCGATCACAGCTACTGCAGCTTGAGTGTTGACGCCGTAAGTTACCTTTCACTGACTGAGCTTCCGTACGTCATCATTTCCACCAACCTCGTCCTTTCTATCCTGGAATGAAGCATTTCTTTCAGCCTTTGGTCTGCCTAAGAGGGCCTGCTCATTCATTGTTTGCTGTCCATCCTGTATTTCCTTGAACTCTGATACACTGTTCAAATCAGATATAGAGGCATGCCATTGTTAAAATGTTTTGTTTTTTAAGCACGGGCAACAAAAGGGTCCGTTTATGGTTCTTGCAAAAATGTTCCATATTCAAATTGCAAGCCATATTGTTTTCGTGTTTCTAAAGTGCCCACTGACCCAGAGTTCCTTTCTGGAGGTGGATGTTATATTCACAGCAGCCCCACTGACTCAATACAAGGTCTGGGCCTGTTAAAATAAAGGCAAAACCATAAGCTCCTCTGAGGCTGTTTCTCGGTGCTGTTGTCCTTTCACTCCGCTCTGCTTTCTTGCACTAGACCCCGAAGTGAGATAACAGCCAACAGCTACACACAAACGCTGCAGTTCAGAAAACTCCTGCCCGGCGTTGCAAACATGAAAGAGCCTTTTCTACATTATGCAAATGACAACACACAACATTGTACTGTACTTTCCTATGCGCCGCACGTAATTGCTCATGGAAAGGCGGGATGAGGGTTGACGGATCAGTCCATGTACGTCCCAGAGGGGAATTTTTTTGAGGTTACTCTTTGGAGGAACATACGCAGAACATGTTGGGCAAACACAACCGAGCTGCAGTGCTTTATGCCAGGTACCACCTAGTGGCAGAACAACAGAACAACACCTTCCCCAACATGAAAGCAGACACGTCTTTATGAGTGAAGTATTTCGGTGTTTGCTGTTTTGCATTTGCAGCCCTGCAGGAACACTCCTAGAATATGGTTCATAAACACAAGCTGCACTTACTGAGCTAGTTCTGCAGTGCAATTACACTAATGAGATTGAATTGAATTTTAAGTTAAGTCAAGTAAAGTCAAGTTTATTTATACAGCGCAAACACAGAGGAGGCTTTTCCTCTGAACCCCAAAACCTGCCGGCATGTTTGAGAGGCATGTTTTCTTTAAAAAAGGTGCCAGAAAATACGTAATTGATTAAAGCCAGAAGCCGTAAAAACAGAAAGAACTGTGAACTTTCCGATGGCTTTTGTGCAATCATGTGTGATGCAAAGTCAAAAATATAGGCTTAGAATTGTGCTATTTCATCAAAACTGCATTGTTTATTTAAAAAAATCACCAAATATAAACTGTCAGCATTCAGTTCTGTAAAAAATTCTGCATTCCTCGGTGCGCTTGAGTAGTCAGAACTGAAAATTCTGTGATTTTTCAGGTGGACTACAGGCTGTATTTACTCAGAATAGAGAAGGGAGGAAGATAATTCTGCTTGATCAATAAAGAAATGTGGCATGGCACAAAGACAGGAGCAGATGGCCAGCACATTGTTGGAAGATACATTCAGCATGGTGAAATATCTTTGTGGAAGATCTGTATTGTGATGTGAAAAACCCAGAGTTTGTAGAAGATGCAAAAATGTAAATAGATCTAATTAAAAGCCTATTCATAGCATATGGAGCCAACATTTTTTAAAAATCTAGTTTTGGTAACACTTGTGAGCATGTGGGAAAAATACTGTAGATGTTTTCCAATTTCGGTAAAGGAAATAAACAATTCAGCTCTTTTTGTGTGTGTGTGTGTGTGTGTGTGTGTGTGTGTGTGTGTGTGTCATACTGCACATAAGATATTTTTGAGTTCCCTCTACTTCTACTCATGGTTGTGCTGTTTCCACAGAGGTGCAGGACTTTATGTTGTAGTGAAAAATGAGCCCACAGTGGGTAAAAATGTGACTGATTTGAGCTTCTCTTTGCCTTCAGATTCCTGTCAACATCGTGGAAGAGGCGCATCGGTCAGAGATGATTCCTCATGAAGTCTATGGAGCTCATTTGGTGAGCTGGAGTCACTCCATCTACTCTGGTGTGAGACCTGTAGCCGTCCACCAGTGAACACACAGAGCCACAAAGCACAAAGAAAGGCTGGACAAATCCACTGGTGAGAAAGTAGCCTCAGAGGAACCTAGAAGTCGTACCGGGGGGATTTTAACACCACAGTGGCAAAATGAAAGCCAACCAAGAGCGGAGTAATGGATGCCTGCCTCCTAAAAAGCGCGAGATCTTGGCCCTGGAGCAGAGGCCGGTGGTTGTAGCCACAGCAACGCCTCCGGCTGCAGTGGCTGCTGACAGTCCCCACACAGAAAACCTAGCGTGGCTGGCCAGTGTAGCCAGTGAACGCTGCAAGTCCAGGGAGGCAGAGAGCCCGAGATGTCCTGTCTCCTCCATATCCTCCTCGTCCTCTCCCTCCACTTCTATCCCCTCTTCAGCCACTCCTCTGTCAGCAGTGCCCTTGGCGTCTCTACCCGCAGTTTACCCCACAGCCCTTCCCCAGCAAGCTGGAACAATCCAGTTTGCTCAGCTGGGACCCAACGTTCAGTTCATCAGCTCTGGGCCCTATGCCGGCTACATCTCCTCTCACATCATCTCAACGAACGCTAATTCTGCGCCCAACAGCTCTGCCATAGTCGGACAGCGTCCCCAGCTGGACGGCTACACCACTGCCCTGATCTCCCCCAACACCAAAGGGGAGCAGCAGTTCCAAATAGGCCTCTCCCCCACAGAGCTGGCTCCCGCTTCACTACCAAGCTCTCCTCAAGTCACCAGCCAGTACATCCATCTGGACAGCAGAACACCTCTGACTGTCAGCGGAAACGCGGTCACCTCACCCACAGCCCACCTCCAGCTCCACCCTCACACAGCCGTCCTCCCCCAGACGCTCACCCTCGCTCCTTCACAGCTTGTGGTTCAGTATGCAGATGGTTCCGCTGGAAAGAAACCAGAGGGGCATGCCAAGGGTGTGCTGAACGGGGAACTGGAGGTGGTCAAACATGCAAAAGCCTCCAGTCAGCCAGCAAACCATCAGCAGGTCCAGAGCTACGAAGCCAGACACATCCTGCTTCCGGCCGACTATGCCCAAAACCCTGCAGGACTCCAGACCTCCCTGGTGCTCGTGGCTCAGCCCAACCATGGAGCTGAACATGAACCTGGCTCAAATAAGATCTCCTTAGTCCAGACTGAGAAAGGAGGCATTTGTTTGGGGAAGCCAGTGTCCAGATCTTCCTCTTTCACCTCCCTCTCTTCCTCCGAAGTGGTAAAATCTGTTGCTCCTCATACCGTCATCCAGACCACTCTCCCCCCTGAGGAGCTGCCAGCCAACCTCTACTCGTCAACGCAGCCACCCATCATTGGCTACATCACCAGTGCAAACCAGCATGCTGTCAGCTACCACGCGGCACTGCCTCAGCACCTGGTCATCCCAAGTGGACAGTCCCTCCTCATCCCGGTCAGCGGTGCCAACAATGGCACAGAAATGGAAGTTAGTCGCACCGTCAGCGCCCTGACCGCCACCACTACTCCTCAAATATCCACCGCCATGCCGCACGCCTATCTGGCCACGGCCCTGTCTAAGTGTGAGGCACTTGGGCCAGATGGAAACCAACCACCGCCTGCTGTTGCACAGGCCCCCGCGTTGCCGGTGCTGCCCTCGAACCCTGTCCCTGCAGTGGTGGCAGCTCCGTCCCCGACTCCCACCAGTGTCCCCACCCCTGCCCCGGCCGCCATCCAAGCCTCGCCCTCCATTTCCTCTTCCTCTTCCCCCGTGGCGCTTCCTCCGTTCTTCATGCGAGGCTCCATCATCCAGCTGGCCGACGGGGAGCTGAAGCGAGTGGAGGACCTCAAGACGGAGGACTTCATCCAGAGCGCCGAGATCAGCAGCGAGCTGAAGATCGACTCCAGCACCGTGGAGCGAATCGACAGCGGGCAAAGTCCTAATGCTGTGGTCATTCAGTTTTCTGTGGGAGAGCTCAAAGCCCAGGTTAGTCGCTCTGATGCATCCTTCTTGTGTGATTAATGTAATTCTCAGTCATTATGTGCACAATTCAAAATCTGTAGTCTTTGGTGCCCCCCGGTGATAATATCCAGAAACTCCACCCTGGCAGTCAACAGTGCACATAAACTAATTAAACTGGCAGCAGAAATCCATATTGTATCCACAGTGTGATGAAACTGATGCAAACGTTTCTTTTAAAATTAATTAGTTACAAGCAGAGGTGAGCATCCTTCAGTCTCACGGGGCTTTAATTGCAAAAAGAGAACAAGAATTCATCAGTATTGCAGAACCGATGGACATTAATACCCCTTTATTATTATCTTCCATCTCCACTCCAATCTCATCAAACAGATACCAAAAGCTTTTACACAACATATGTTCGAAAGGCTTAAAGGCATTAGTTTTAAAAAAGATGAATCCAGCCATGCTACAAATTCCCTGTTTTAAGCGATATTATGTGCTACAGACTGGGCTGGCTGAGGGAGACTAGAGCCTGACTCATTCTGGATATTTGAAGTCAATACTATTAATGTTATTTGACAGACTGAAAAAATATGGAAATGCATTGATTGAATTGAGTTATTACGCAATTCTGAAGAAATGGGACTTTTGTCAGTGTTGCTCAGGGTTCATATCTGCACTCTTTCTTGTACTTTATCAGCCAACATGTACAGTATATTCCTGAAAGGCTGAAGTTTTAGTAGCTGTGAATAATATCAGCTTGGCTTCACTTTAGGCCTCATCCACATGCACATGGGTATCTTTAAAAACAACAACAAAAAAACAACCTTTTTCTATGGGTTTTGGTCTTTCATCCACACACATGCAACAGAGCTGACCTCTTGCAAAACTCCCTCTAGAAGGCAGTTTTTCAGAAACACTGTTTGCATTGTTGATACAAACACAAAGAAAGCATATTGTGCGTTCTAAAAAAAATATATATATCAGTGTGATATTTTGTTTTTGCATGACATGTACTACAATGAAAAATACAGGAATTTTCACCACATGACTCTATTTGGAGAGAATTGATGGTGTTGTCTCATGTAGTGGTAACAACTGCAACACACTGCCAGCGGAGAATCTGTTGCTGGTCAACATCATCCATTCTGTAGCCAGAATATATCCATACAGCATTTCTTTTTGCAGCAAAATCTTTCTTTTCAGTGCTTCTCTCCTGTTCTTTGCTCATTTTGCTGTGCATATTTGGAGCCTGGACGTCAACCAACTCTGTGTCTTGTGGCTAAAGTTAAAGAAAAAAAAACAACAAACTAAGTGCGTCCAAGAACCTTTAATTTAACGTTGTTCTACCAGCCCAACTTCTCTTGGAGATTAGTCATGAAAAATGAGAACCGTGTGAGTTCTCTTTTTGTATGAAGCAGCAAACAAAGCTGTAGCATGATGTGCTTGCCTCACTTCACATTGCACTCCCAATGATGTGACTATTGAGCACGCACACATCACCTTGTTGATGCTGAAACAATATATTGTGCAGCCCAAACCCCCAATACATGGTGTGTCAAATACAGTGTGCGAAAGACAGCAGGATGTCCTGCTACATGCTGTTGCATTGCAGCGTTTGCAAGCCAGCATACTTTTCTAACGCACAGTGAGTATAAACAGGCTTGAGTCACTAAGATTGCGCTGACAGATAACAGCATATTTTACAATGCAGACTGCAACACATACATGAGCAACACGGTCACAGTTTAAGGCACAATAGTATGATAAAATCTAAAATGTATGCATGCTGCACACTGTGAAAGGACAGCTGTCTTAGATTCTAGATACAAGAATGCAAGAGTAAAAGTATGCATATGTTGAGAATGTGTAAGTAGTTTTTAGATTTTTTCTTCTATTACATCAACCCAACAATTTTAGAATGATTATTCTTTCCAAACACAGTTACATAACTGGTGAAAATTCCTGTATTTTTTCCGTAATGTTATATATAAATTGCAGAAAAACGAAATATCACAAAGACAGTTTTTCTCGTATCTTGTGGGCCTAATTACTGCTACCCCACTGAAACCAGTAATAGCTTTGTTCAGGCCTATGATTTGCCAACATGGTTTTCGGCTTATGGCTAAATTGCTGCCTGGTGGTTTGGCTCTTGACGATGCTTCAATTGTGTTTTTGCATTTTGGAAAGAGACTTTTCTGAGAATTCAACTGAAAAAACATTTAAAAAAAAATAAAAAAACACACCTGTGTCTGTGCAGACAAAGCCAAACGCTGCACATGTTTTTTAGAGGGACAAACCTTTTTTTTACAACTGACATTTTGAGTCACCATTTAAGATCAGATGCTACTAATATAAATAATGATAGTTTGTGTTGCACATTTTACACTACAGCTGCAAGTCAAACTCAAAAAAGAGGGGAATGCTAAAAAAAAAAATCAAATGAAAAGCACAAATAATGGTGAGAGAACAAAAGACAGTAAAATACAATGAAATAAAAGAGCCCTTAATGAATGTAATAAATAGATCCCAGTAAATTAAGTGAAACTACAAAGAAACGTACATAAACACAAGCCTAAAATTATACGTTTTGTGGCTTTGTTTGAAGCTGAACGCAGCATGTTTGTACATCTTAGTTCTGCTTTGGAGATCATTTAAGAGGCCAGAGTTAAAGGGTTTATCAGTTCATAGAAATAGTGATACAGATAACTGAGAAAAAGCCAAATACAAATCCAGAGAAGAGAATTAAATAAAAATAATTATTGAATTATCTAAACTTTGTAAAACAATTAATGGGAAGCAGAATGTTACTTTTATCTGCATTATTGACATCATCCTAAAAAGAAAGGAAGAGATAGATAGATAGATAGATAGATAGATAGATAGATAGATAGATAGATAGATAGATACTTTATTCATCCCTTTGGGGAAATTCAAGGAATCCAGTAGCTCACATACGATACATCTAAAAGACAAAATTACATGCGAAATATTGTCAAAAATAACGTGCAATGACATAGATTACAATCATACAAAATCTGCACATAGGGGCTGAATGGTTTTGAGTATGTCAGAGATTTAACTGCGTCTTTCCTGCTCCTGTCCAGGTGTGTGTGGAGGTGCTGGTGGAATATCCGTTCTTTGTTTTCGGCCAAGGCTGGTCATCATGCTGCCCCGACCGGACCACGCAGCTGTTCGAGCTGTCCTGCGCGAAGCTCTGCGTGGGCGACGTCTGCGTGTCGCTGACCCTCCGCGGCCTGAGGAACGGTTCTCTAACGGACAGCCAGGCTCTGGGGACGAAGCTGAAGACCGGCCACCTCTCCGACTCCTGCCACAGCGCCGATCCCAACGTGAGGAACAGTGTGAGCCCGAGCGCTGCAGGCAGTAACGGCGGCCTCCTCATGAAGTCTTCCAGCGCTGACCGACTGGAGAGGCAGCACGTCACCGGACCGGGAGGGGAGCTAATGGCGGGATTGGGGTTGGTGCAAGGACAGGCGGAGGGGATCTACAGAGCTGGACCGGGAGAAGTAAGACAGGAATCAGTGAAAACAGAAACCCTCTCTAAACTGCAATGTGGAGATCCAGAGAGACCCACAGTCCGCAAGAGACGCTGGTCAGCTCCAGAGAGAGACCAGACGGAGAGAGCTGAGGATGAGCCTCCCGTGACTCTGCCCAAACCCTCCTTCATCCCTCAGGAGGTCAAAATCAGCATAGAGGGCCACTCTAGTACTGGGAGCGAAAGATGCTTGAACAAAAGAGTAGACTGTTGAGAGGAACTTTGAGGAATTTTAAATACCTGTGGTTTGCTTTGTGTTTTACCCCCTCCCCCTCCTTGTCTTTTCTCTCTATCCAGACTACTGTAATATAGACTGAGTTTACGCAGTATTTACATGTTTTTCTTTTCTTTCACGCGATATCTAAGATGAAGTACAGTAGAGCACCTTCACAAGTGGTATCACACACAAGATCAGTGCAATCAATGCTGAAAGCAAAAACGAATGCAGCGTGAATGTTGAGCGTGAATGGCAGTCCGACACCTGGGAGACATCCGGTAGACATATCATGAGCAGGATCTCTTTTGTTAAACCTGTTGGATGCAGACCGGTCAACCGTTTCTCTGATTACACGAACAAGCACAGACCCCGATGTCAGTGTGTGGAAAGTGATATTTTGAGTCTTTGTTTTACCGTTTCTTTGGTTTTGCGGAGATGCGAGCGGCAGCGTGAAAGCATGTCGTCGGTGTTTTGGCGACACTAAATCATCCCGGCTGTGATCTCTGCCGTCTGAAGCTTTTAGTTTAATATTATCACATCAATTTCCATTTTCATACCATTACAAATGCTACTGCAGGTGGCCTCGTCCCTCTGTGTCGCTGTGTGTGTCTGTGTGTTTTTCCTGTGCGTGCTGTCAAACAGAGCACAGGATTCAGGTGTGTGTGTGTGTGTGTGTGTGTGATGCGAGTTACCTGCAAATCAAGATTGAAAAGTCCTGAATGTAAACCACTCGATTTGTCCTCAGTACTGACTCATGTGCTGTTTGCTACACCACTGCTGAGAGTTTGATCCCAGTGCTTTTTGCAGTATATCGGTGCCAGTAGTTGCATTCCTCTGGTGAAGTTGTCTTTTACCTTGATTCACTGACCTTGAGCTGTAGTCTCGCATTTCCTTTCACCATTTTACATCCGTCTTTCTGTAGCTGTGGCTTCAGTGTGCAGCACTTCAGATCCTTACAACCAGAGAAAAATCCAAATGTTTTTTTTAACTCTAATATCACCACATGAGGTTTCAGCCCTTTTACTGCAATACATAATTGTGTGAAGTAATATTTTTGGCCACTTGAGGGCAGCGCAGTAAACTAAACATAACATAAATGTTAGCAAACAATTGAGCAAAGACAGATGTGAGATTGAATTAACTCTGCTGCATCAACCTTGTGCAGTTACTCATCCGGAGGCCTGCACGACAAAGCAAGTTCAACATATCCAGGATATCTCTTCGCTATCTGGCTTCACTAATCCTAACAAAGACAGCTAAGCGGTCACCTTGTTTATCAGCTATCAACCATTGTTCTTGAATCTAGTTCTCAGTGTATTCACATGAAAGGAGTGATGTTGCACCAGATGACCAAACATGGACAAATCCAGAGCGACATATGTTTAAAAAGAAGAACAAAATATAATTCTAAACAAATATGAGGAATTTTAAAAATAGGCTTAATGCAAAACAGCTGCTGTTAGGAAGGTAGCTGGCACATATCATGACTCCATCATTAAGGCATGAGTATTTTTGACTAAAATTGGACTACGATTGTGTATTCCAGTAGATGTATTACATAGATTTCGCCTATTCTGTTTGCATATAGGGAAATTTTAGCCTTATTCGTGCGACTGCAAACCTCAAGATGTTTAAAGGTTTGGAGAGCAAGTAAAGAACAAACATAAAAAGTAGAATTTAAAGAAGTTAGTTGATTTTCTTGCTTTGTCAGTTGCTGTTTTAGGATTAAATTGCTGTACAAAGGGCTCTAAAACATGGAAATTGGTCTGAAGTATAAGGAGTCAACCAGAAAGAAATAAAGCAAGGAAGACTGGAGTTTCCTCTTAACAACAAACTCTGTTCATTACTGAGCTCCACTGGAACAAACTTCAACACCATTTTTCAAGAGAACTGATTAGTCAGTTGGTTTTTATGTAGGATTTGAGCTGATTTCGCAAACACAGCCAGCTCCAGAGAAGGTTAGCTGTACAGAATAAGTTTCCATGAAAGTGAGCCACCATCGAAAATTTAGGATTAAACCCAAAGTTACCTGTCTAACCTTAAATCCTGCGTCGTCGTACAGGCCTCTGCTGTCTGACCCAACCAATCCCAACCGTAACCACCAATTGCTACAGAACGTCAATCGAGCATCTGTCTTGTGCAGCCGCAAACACATTTGGAGAGTTGTTTCAGGCGACCTATCATACTTTATTTAGCGGTATTTTATTCTGCATCACCAGGTAGTTGCTAACTTGCTTGTCTGCTGCAAATCGTCTGTTGATCAAAGGTGTGTCACTGAAAACAGCTGCCCCGTTAAAATCACAATATTAAGCTGAAGGATGTAATATTTCTCTTTTGGGTTTGGTACGAGCGACCCCTCTCACTGTAGTGACCTCGCTTTCATTCTAGAAACTATGGCCTTAGATACATACAGTGTAGTTCACAGCAGCACATGATTTTTTTTTAAGGGTTTTACCATTAAAACCTCAGTGACGGTATGCCTTTCTCAAGTCCATACCCGTTTAAATCCGCTGTTTGGATATAAAACAGCAAACTCTATTTCTGGTAGATGACATGCCAATTTTTTTTTTTCTTAGAATAAAGAAATATCCTATAGTTCATACTCAGGAACAGTGCGCGTCTGTTTGTGTGTAGGTCACTTGTACGTGTGCGTTTTTAAACAGCAGCACTTTGACGAAGCATCCAACTGGAGCGCGATGGTGACGGTGGCGGCGGTGTCCCTCTTCCTCAGCTAGTTAGAGACTGTTTCTCATCACATCACAGGTGTATCACTGAGAGGGAACGTTATAAACCGGGGCAGGGAATGTAAAACACACATCGGGCAAGCTATCTCAACTTTATTTTTTTGATGATTTATAGAGCTACTATTCAGAGGAAGAAAGAAAGAACAAAAACAAAAAAAAACCGGAGAGTTGCAAATAAGCCAGCTAGTGTCGATCATGTACAGTAAATTGTATCGTAGAAAGTGTACAGTGTGTATTCTAACCCTTATGTAGCCTATGTACTGTATGTGCCACAGCGCCTGCTTCTTCAATCATTCCATTAACTCACCGATAACGAGTGGTCCTGCTATTGTTTTTCCGTTTTGTTTTTTTTTTGTCGGTTCATGAATGTTTCTGTATCTCTTGGGGAAACATCTACACAACTGGGCCTCCTCAGAATTCCATTCGACTTGCACACTTACGAGTATGCGTGAACACGGGACTGCAGTTTGCATCGTTAATAGCCATTATAAAAAAAAAAAAAAAAACAACAACCCAGTAATCAGACTGTTCTGTTTGTGTTTGAATGCTCAGGCTAAACACTGCCCAGTGACTGTTCTCCTCCAGAAACGATGTGGTCTTAAATCCCTCACTGTTACACAGAGCAAAGCTACTGTTTGATCAGTTTGTCTTTGTAGCTGTTTTTTTTTCTTCTTCTCTGTTAGAGCCTGGCCTGTGTTTGTACTTTCCTACAAAAAGAAAAAAAAAAACCTAATTATTTTTCGACCTGGAATGACACCATGGCACAGACAAATCTATGAAACGTGGAGCTGATGTTTAATAGCCGGGTACATTTTTCACATTGTCAACAAATCCCTTCCCGACCCTTTGTGTGGCGCTCGTCCCTAAGCTCACTGAGTCCCGCTGAAACCACAAATCTTTAAAAAGAAAAAAAAATGTGTAGTTTCATCTTTATTTTATGGCCGAGCTTAATAGCATTTGCGCCCATGTGGTATGTGCATTAACCATGCAGCTACTGGGTCGATCCATTTTTTAAAAAACAGCCTGGCACTGCATATTTTACATAACTCATTAGGGACTATTTTCAGCTGTGGATTGATACCGTTAAGCCAAAAATTATTCATGGCCGTGCCAGATTTTGATTTACAGTGAATTTTTATTTGACAAATAGGTTTCTTCTGGCTAGAACTGGCATAAACAAGTGACACAAGACGGTAAAACATTGTGTTTGGGGTGTTTATGGTAGATTTGGACTGCTTCTCATTTTTGTTGTTGCTGTTTTGTTTTTATATTTTTTATTAAAATGCCACGTCCAAAATTATTCATACCCCCAAATGCAAATTTTTTACCATCTTGCATCGCTTGTTTTTATAATTTCCAGCCAGAACAAACTTATTGGTCACACTAAAAAATATATATGAATCAAAATGAAGCATGTGAAAGAATAATTTTGGGCTTAACTGTGCATTCGGTGCTCTAGTGAGTATCTATAGCACCAGATTACTGTATGTGGACCTAACCGAAAATAAGCTACAGTGCTGGTATTCAGCACATGCCATGCTCTAGTAAAGTGTGGCTCCTTTATATATTTTTTAAATAAATGTCAATAAATGTGGGTGGCACACAGTAATAAGACCACACAGACTTGTTAATAATTCCTTGTTGGTTTTTCTCCCTTCGTGGGATTTGTTGACAATAGGAGAAATATATTGCCAACCTTGTCCTTAAAAGCCCTGCAGACCCACACAGTTATTCCTGCTAGTTAGACCTCTGCTCAGCGGCGCATGCTGTGAATTAAACGGCGACTCGGCATATGCACGAGAATGATAATAAGTGGACATTATCCCGGCGCAGCGGGTGCACAGTCTGCACAGGCCCTCACAGTCCTGAGCAGAAGTCTAATCAGGATGAAGCAAAGAAAACACCTGTTAGGTTTTACCACAGGTACGACAAGTATGTTGGGGCTTTAGGTTAGATGTTGTTGGAAAGGTTTAGTATTAATAATATTTCATTTTTTCTAATAAATATGTTCAAGCTGGGCCCCTTAAAATATGTAATTTTCACAGCCTTTCTGTACAATGTTGAATATGGCATATAAGTGCCGCATTGTGGTGATCTATGGAATTGCACTTTGACATATGTGTGTGTGAGTGTGTATGTGCGTGTGTGTGTGTGGGGGGTGTTAGTGTAACTAATACACAAAAGTAATGTACAGCATATCTGAGAGAAATTGTACGCTACCTGTACAACGTCTCAGCGATTTGTAAATAGCCAAAGTCTTCCATTATAATGTTGGTATGACCTTGTGGAGAGGATAAACACTGATTTCCCCATGTACAGACCTTTGAAGTGATGTTTAATTTCAAAAATACATCATTGTTTATTTGACAGAAACACAAGATTTTGCTTCACCTAAGATATTTTCTTTTGCACCAGCTCAAAAACCCAGGAAATAATGGGAGTCAAAGACTTTAAAAAAAAGAAACATATTTTGTAATTTGGGTCTGTTTGGATAAATCTCAGCTAAGACACAGTATGTCCTATGCGTACAGTATGTAGTAAGTATCAATAATGTTCCTTTATTTTGATGGTGTTGAGATTTGCTAGTCAGAAACTGTTAAATCTTTACTCCAAATGTTTGATTTTACATTTGATCAAATATATTCAAAGAAATAAAGAGTCTAAAGAAAATTGCGTTTGATGTTTTCTTTGCACAAGAAGTCCAGGTTTCAGGTTGTGTTAGATAGAAAAAGGAGTGAGAAAGAGTGTTCTGGCAGTATTTTATATGTGAATATGTGGTTTGCCAGCTGCGAGAGTCTGATAAATGTTTCCACCAGAGATATGCCTGATAATATCTTCACCTCCGCACTCTTGCTTTGATATTTCCGACAACAAACTTTCATATTCTTCACACAAGTCACGACAGCACTGAACAGAAGCTCTTTGGACAGCGTGACTGCTGAAGGAGTCATTGCTATGAAATAACTGATGCTATTTTGCAGCATATATAGATCAATCATCCACAACTCCAAGACTCAATAATTCAATAGGGCTCTGGAAAACAACAATGGAAGCCATCTTCAAGGATGCTGCACAAATCACCACTGAGTGCAGCATACACCAAGGTGATGCACTGTCCCTGCTGCTGTTCCGCAAAAACCTGAACCCCCATTAGGCACTTAACTGCAGAGAATGGAGACAGATGCAGATTCAGAGGTGGAGCGACCATCTGTCACCTCTTGCACATGGACGACATCGAGGTGAAAAGCTGGAATCAAAGGGACACTGACTTAGTGATCCACCTCAATAGGACCTCCAGCAAAGATTGGGATGTCATTTGGACTGGATTAATGTGGCAGCATGGTGGCAAATTGAAGGAATGTGATAGGAACTGAAGGGGTAGAGCTACCACAAGGCAGGATAGCACACTTACAGGGCAGCTACAAGCACCAGGGTATCCCACAGTTCAGTGGGAGCCGTGATGAGGATTCACGAAAGTCAGCAACAGCCAAATACCTCCAGAGGATAAAATAGGTGCTGAGAAGATCCAAGCCTTAATCACGTATGCCCTACCAGCATTGGATACCCATCTGTAAGAGTGAGCTGGCCTCAAGAGGAGATGGATGCTGCTAATGTTGAGACAGGAAGACTCTTTGCAGTGCATTGAGGGTTGACCCAAAGTCCAGCACCTTGAGACTGTACAAGCAACAAAAAGACGGGTCATGAAGATTAGTGAATGTGAGATTCACGAACCATGAAAATATCACTAAGATGAACCCTGAGGATGAAGTGCTAAGGCAGCAGCAGATAGAGGATGTTGAGGAGGAAGAAGAAATATTATGGAAGACCGAACCCTTCGCAACGATGCATCATCAGCAGATAGATAGAGGAGGTGGTTGAAATCTTGCCACTGGCTAGAAAAAGGTTCAACTGAAGGACCGAGCAAGAACATTCTCTGAGCACCAGACTCATAAAGGCAGGGATTCACCACAACAAGCAGGACTTCAGCTACAAACTGTAGAAAGAGGCCCTTGAGACAGTTCGGCATATAACGGCAAGGTGTAAGATGTAAGCTTTGACAGGGATAGTGTATAAAAACATCTGTGCTGAGTAGGGATTAGAAGTCCCCAAGTTCCAGTGAGACAAAAACATGTGGGAAACAACAGAGCTAAGATCATGTGGGAGTTCAAGTTCCGGCTAACCAACCGGACAGTGGATGTGGACAAAGTAGCAGAACAACTGTGGTAAATGTGGTAGCTGGCAATGACATAAGGATAAGGGGCATGAGAAGATCGAGAAGTACCAGAGACTGAAGGTACAACTGGACCAGATGTTGAAGGTGTTGTCGACAGTGGTTCTGCTGGTAGTAGGAGGCTGTAACCCCCAAAATGGGAGAGTGGTTCATTGGAGGTCTATGTCCAGAAAAGTGAAGTACAAAGAATAGATAAGATGTTGCACAGAATCCTCAAACACTGAGTTGCATCTGTGAGTTGACAGTCTTTAGTCGGGCCACAATTTTCGCCCCCAGTTCAGGGGATGCAGCTGCAGGACTGATGGTGAGGTAGCATCCAGTTCTTTGGGGTCCATTCTATATGTTCTGAATGGTCAGCAGTGTTCCCATTTCGTCAGAGCCTCTCCAGTTTCAGCAGTGACAGAAGTTTGTTAATCCACTTATGTTGCATGTGTCCTCTCTCCCTGGGCCTCGTAGTATTCCATGAATTTCATATTCACAGTCTTTGTATTGCAGTAGCCCGGCTCTCATCAGAATATCCTGATCCGCCCAGCATCTGATGCGGATTGTCGTAGAGAGAAGGGGCCTATGCTAGCTGACATAGGGCAGGAAAAGTTGAAGACCGGTTATCACAAGGCTAACACAAAGAGAAACATCCATGCAGGCTCACACTCACACCTACAGCCAATGTAAAATCACCAATTAGAGGAAAACCCTCAGAGAGAACATGCAAACTCCACACAGATAGGTCTCAACCAACCGGCAGGTTTCAAAGACTCTCTTGCTAGATCTTGTTTCAAAGCTGCACCGCTGGTGAAGAATAATGCTAATACGCTATTTAATAACTCATAGATAAAAAACGGTGTCTGGACTCGTGCAATTATGGAAATATCAAAGATTAATCTGATATCAGTCTGATCTACATGTGAACGGATCCATCTACAGTTCGTGGCCCAAAGGAGCTCCATTAATTACGAGTTGGCTCTCAATTTGAGCTACCAGATATTAACAGATATTACATAACAGAACATGAGTTATGCAGGACTTTATTCTCTTGTTTTACATCATTGGTTGCTGTGTTTTTACATATTTGACTTTTACTTCTGTACCTGTTGGTTACATTTTTGTTGATGTAAGTACATATAAGCATCTGATTTGAGAAACACTGATATTAAATTAGTAGATTTTTCTGTCTCACTCTCCTACTGACTCCTGTGTTTCATGCTCTGTAGAAGTCCACCAAATATTTGATGAACAGGAGCATCTATATGTCCTTAAAAGATAATGTTTGTGATATAATAAAAGTCTGTAGCTGCCACAGAGAACACCAAGACTGTGGATTTTCTATAAAAAGTTTATGTCTTAACACTGAAACCACTACTGATTTAACAGATGTGTTTACTTGTACAAGGTAAGTGGCTTGTGCTGCAGCTATATATAGTTGTGGAGACGAATGAAGGTTTAGAATGTCATTGTTAGTTTCTACACAGTGTTTTTGGCAAAAAAGGTCATGATTCAGAATGTCGTCAAAACGTGTCAGGATGTAGTACACAGTGGAAATAGTGCGATGCATGTCGTAGAAATCACCTCAGGAAAGTATTTCACAAAGAAAAGTCATTTTGAGTTTTGGCGTGCAGAAAAAAAAGTCATGCTATAGCATGTCGTTTTTGTCAAAAAAGGTCACGTTCCAGAATGTCCTGAAAACGCATCAGGATGTAGTATATGGTGGGAAAAGTGTCCTGAATGTGTTTAAAGACAGCTTAGGAAGGTACTTCCTTAAAAACGGCACATTATGTATTTGGTCCTCAATAAAAAAAAGTCATACTATAGCATGTCGTTTTTGTCAAAAAATGTCACGTCTCAGAATGTCCTGAAAACCTGTCAGGATGTAGTATATAGTGGGAAAAGTGTCCTGAATGTGTTTGATTTACTTTAAATGAAAGTAAATTAACTGTCAAGGTCGGCAAATTGTTGCTCAGTAAAATCTTAGTCCTGGTTTCCTCTTAAACACAAAAAACAGCATTACAACTATTAACAGTCCTATTATCATAACAGTGCATGAAAATCCAGTTTGCAAAAGGAAATATCCACTAAAAGTATAACAACTTAAAGCTAAAAAGGCAAGTACTTCCATTAACTATCTGCTCAGCACCTTCAAAATATATGTCGATGCTATCAGTTGTTTATTTAGTATCTTTAGTATACAGCTGAGCTCAAAATTATTCATACCCATGCCAACACTGGATTCATAGGGAATTTTTTGTTCTATCAACAGGTTACTTTCAGCTTGAAATGACATAAACAAGTGACAACAAGAAATAAGACATTGAGATGTTAATGATGAATTTAAACTATTTCTATGCTGTTGTTGTTGTTTTACATTTTTTATGAAAAAATCATGTCAAAAATTATTCAAACACCTGAAAATTGTGGCAGAACTTTGAGAAAATCAAAGCATCTAGAAGACAGATGCGAGCCCTGCACTGGAAGAATGGTGGAGGCCAAGAAGAATCCAAAGATCAGCACCAAGATCATCCTGATGAATGTGAGCAGTTCTGGTAGCAACATGTCAATCAGACACTCCAGCAGACCAACAACAAGGCTGGTCTCCATGGAGACAAGGAGGATCCACTTCTCCAAGACAAAGAAGAAAGCTGCTGCTCATCACTTCATGAACATAGAGATGTTTGGAAACAAAGAAAAGAGAAGCATTCAAGGTCAAGAACGGCACCCTCGTGGCCAAACATGGTGTTGGGAATGTCAAACAAATTTTCACTATAAATCCAGTTGTGACATCAGTGGTTTATAATTTAACTGTATGCTTAATTTACATGGATCATAACATAATGTTGTTGTTCAGGGCCACAGGGGGGCGCTGCTCTGCCTCACATAGGAGAAGCTGCCTCATCAGGTTTTACTGTGTTGCTCCTGCAGGAATTCAGGTTTATTTCTGCACTGAACCACCTGGGGGAGCAAGAGACCTTCCTCTGAGGAGGAGACGTCAGCCTTAAACTCTGAGATCCTATTAAGTAGAACTGACCACGAAAAAATTGCATCTCAAGGGGAATTGGACAGAAATACACCGTTTATAATTACATCCAACTATTATATACAAATAGCACATATATTGTAATAAAAATACTAAAAAAAGAGGATGTAGCCTGCATACCGCAAACAATTACAGGCTACCAAATTGGAAAAAACTCAAAAAATGTGAGTCTATGTTAATATGAGTGATAGATTCTGTTGCATTGAGGAAGATACGACTGAAGATTAGCAAGTTATTCTAATTATATTACATTTCTGTGCTCTTTTGCAGAAAACACATAATTTCATTTCTAGCTTCATGCTGAACAGGAACATGTGAAGCCCACTTACCTAATGACCAGAGTCAGTAATCAAACAGAACTTTATTCTGATAAAACTTCACACTTGATACAAAACTGAAAAACAACTCAAACATAACACAGTTACATTTAGTTTTGAATTCAGGGTACTGTTGATGCCCCGACCACTTTGTTCCGCCTGCCTGTGCCTGATGCATCAATAACAGATAAACAACATGACTCACACTGCTAAATGTCATACAGTACGTGCAGTAATGTACACAGTCTCAGACTGTCTACAAAGTGATGTGTTTCTGACATGGACTGACTATCTTTGCGGCTACTTTTTGAAGTCTTATCAGTGTTAGAAAAGACATCCATGGAAACCTTTACCGAGCGGGGCAGGACGGTGAAGATATGGTCTGTTTCCTCACAGATAAAACTCTATAGTCACTATAAGACAATAATAATTTATCTCTTGTTGGTCTCCTCACGTTTTTAAATGCTATGTGGCGGCTTAAGTCAGTCGAAATGCTTTGTTGTTTGCAAATATTAATATTTAATATTCTAATTAGTCACTTACATATATACATAAACAATGAAAACATTAAGCTCTAATAAAATAATGCCAGTGTAAACAAGCCTCAGTATCACACAATGCCCCAATATTGCACATACATTCATAAATATACACTTCACTACACTTTGTGCCTTTTTGTTTAAGCGCGTGGCTGCATCTTATGTGTGTGTGTGAACGATATACAGTCCAGTTGAAGAAAACTGGGATAAATTAAACCCGGTGGTGGTGAAATAACTCAATAACTGCACAAAGAAAGACACAAGAGGCACCTAACAAACACATACATATGTACAGTACCTGCACACACACACTCACACACACACTCACTCACAAAAGCACTTGTGCATTGATCTCAAGTCTCTTTGTGCCTCACTAACAAAGACACACAAAAACATTTAAAGCATTGTCTTCACAACAAAGTCCGTTCTGTCTTCACTTCTGGTGCTTCATCACAGCGAATAAACAACGGACATGTGTGTGTGATTGAGCCTGTTAAGTGTGTTGGCCCCACTCTGTCTGCTTTGGACGCTGTTCTTTGGTCCCAGTCTGTGTGGCGTTGCCGCCTTCAGTCCGTCCTTTCAGTCACTTTCATCAACACGGAGGCAGGAGACCTCCAGCCAAGGAGCTAATACAGATCACAGATCTGATTTACGGTATTCAGAAGGTGCACGTCCCTCCCAAAACCACAGTCCTCCAACCAGAAGCTGTCATTTAGGCGTCTCCTGTTTGCTCGGACGTCAGCTGCTCCTGGTCGGAGACGTCGTCGTCTGCTGGCGGCCTCGCCCGATCAAAGAAGCCGCACTGAGGGGAATCACATTTACCGATTTAGTGCGGTATTGGATAATTAAACGACCACAGAGAAGGTTGGGTTGTGTTTGCTTGAATACCTTCCACATGGCTAACGTCAGCATGGCCAGCACCAGCAGCCCTAGCAGAATGGCCAGGATGATGACCCAGAGAGGAACAGCGAAGGACACATCAGGAGTCCCCCATAACACCAGGGTCCCCATCTGAAGAAAAAAAGACACAGATCTGATCAGTTGTTGGTTCTCTCTTGGAGTCACACAAACTTTTATGGCTCTTTTTTATATTACCGAGGTTTTGTGTTGAGGCAAGGTGGTTGGTTGGATGCGGTAAGGCATGGACATCACCATGAAGGACACAGTAGAGTTGAGAACATAGGGGTCGTTTCGCCTCTATAAAATAAAAAAAACAAAAAAACATAATTCAAAAGGTGACTTTTGCAGATTTGATCTTACAGAGACTTGATTTGGAGATTTAACATAGTTATATAATGATAAAGCTGACAAACACAGTGCCAAACAGTGATAATTAGCACAAATTAGACGCTGACCTGCAGGAAAGTATGTGCCCAGAGTCTGGATCGGATCTTAACCACGACACTCTGCCTTCGATGCAGCCGCCCGACCACACACATGATCTTCAGGCAGGAGATGTTGGTGCAGTTCTGCATGAGGAGAGGAAAGAAGTCAAGCACCTGAGAATGAACATTTGGCTTTGTTTGTTTTCTTTGGAGAATTGGCGCGTATGCGCGGCTCACCAGGGTTTTACTGCTGTAACTCTGAGCGGCGCTGACGGATCGCTTGCGGCGGTGAGGAGGACCGCTGGTGTTCCTCAAGAAACCCAGGAGCTCCGGTGTGTCCTGGAGAGCAGAGATCTGAAACAGACGAGAAGAGATTTCAACACTTAATGTGACTGTTTTTTTTTTTTTTTTTTAAATTTACAGATAAATGATTAACATAAAGGAAAAACATGAAGAAATAAGTGAAGAAACACATCCAGTCATAATAGTAAGGTGAAGAGACCTAAGTGACTTTGAAAGCGTGTTGGGGCACAGAAGGCAGGAGCTTCAGCCTGGCTTCAATTGGAACAGTGACTTCTGCATGTAAATCTGGGAAATAAATTAGGCAACAGGGGAGGAAGTTGTTGTTGACAGCACACAATTGTTGACCGTGATGCTTACTGTGGTATATATATAAGGACAAACAGAACCCCAACTCTTGCTTAATAGGGAAGTGAAAATGTCAGTGCATGATGTCTGCAAGAACAGTCAAAGAGGAATATTATAGCAGGGTTGCATGAACCCCTCATTAAAGAGAAAACTGCATATTTAAGAGTTTAGTGGTGCAACACATTTACTGGTCAACAAAGTGATACTTTAGTTGAGTCATCCGTCACTATCTTCTCAACAAGTGGGCATGTGTGGCCTAAAACCACACAACAGTGCAGGTCTGAATGCATTTGTGTTACCTGAGGATGTCATGTGACTTAGAAATGACCTCCCCCTTCTTTGTGCTTTGTGAGACACATTAACGAGAAAAGTCTGTCCTTATTCAAGCTTACAGACACTTTCTGCTGGATATATTAACTTTTGATCCCGCCAAAGCCAACAATACGCTTGCTGCGACCAAGGTTGATAAATATATAACTTTTGCTCGTGTCAGGATGGCCGAGCGGTCTAAGGTGCTGCGTTCAGGTCGCAGTCTCCCCTGGAGGCGTGGGTTCGAATCCCACTTCTGACATGAGGTTTTTCCATGAATAAAGTATTGTTAGATGGATGAACAGTTGGGTCAATAACATCCAGTTATGTTTCTGTGGCATGTATAAAAATCCAAAGGAGGCCCACTTAGCTTGGACTTCTTTATCAAAATGGCAAGACAAGAAGATCTACGTGACATTGAAAGAGGGTTGAGGCACAGAGGGCAGGAGCTTCAGTCACAAAGACCACTCAACTGGCTTCAATAGCAACAACTGACACATCCATTGAGGAATCTCTCTTTGGATGGATCCTGTCAGTACATCTCCATGCGGTGCAGCCTCCCAAATCTGCACACAAAATGCTCCAAACTTTCCCTTGTAATTGCCAGTGTAGCTTCCATAATTCTCGAGTAAGAGAAAGACTGGAGAAAAGTGCGGTCGATGACAAAAAAACCCAACAAAAGAGCTCAAATCACCAAGACGCCGATTTGTCTGGAACAAAAGTTATAACAGGAAATATGTATCAGGTGAATTATGGTACAAGTTCATGCTGGAATTTTTACTTTACAAATAGATTTGCACAGGATTTAGGTCACCATCAACTTCTGCAATTAATACAAATGAATCGGTCTTTAGGTAACAGTCCGGTGCCAAAGGGGCCTCAGAGTGAAGGCCACTATGAGAGAGGATTAACAACAGAAAACAAGAAAAACCTTCAAGTGTTCACAGTCGTTAGTGTTTTGTTAAATCATTCCAACTCAAAACATGTGTTTGGGCCTTTTAAAGACAATTACCCATAAGAACACACAGATTATCACATATTGGTTGTTTTATCGAGGTCTGTATGGCACATGGGCTCTAATGGAGCCTACAAAGCCAATGAGAAAGACATGGTGGACCCTTAAGACACAGAAAGCTTGTAAAGTAGGATTTTAAAGATGCTTTAAGATGTAGTAAAATAAGAGATTATGTCCAGCTGTGGAAACGAGCGTAAAACATTTCGAAATCTGATCAAGAACTGTACTCTTTTGGAAGCAGGATTTGTGGAGATGTAATTTCCTGAAAACAAAAGACTAGATGGATAACAGACAAGAGTGTCCTCAAGTCTCAGCAGCTCTCAGATATCAGACAGATAGAGACAGACTTTCAGTGTTTCTCCTCCGGGAGTTTGGCTTTGGACACAGACCAGGGAGAACAGCTTGATGGAATATTTTAATTTAAAAAAATTTAAAAATTCAACAAGCTGCGTCGGCCAGACATGAATTGTCTCAACTCAACTAAATTTGGAAGCGCAGCAATGTTTATTTTTCTTCCTGCAGCCCAGCGGTTAGTAGCTCGGCCACTTCAGTCAGTAAGAAACAAGCCACAGATAATTTCACTAATCAATTAAGCCCCGTTCAGACGTGCACTCTTTTCCATTAATCTGACCGCCTCTGAATATGTCGCCTCCATGTCTGATTGAACACCCTGGTGCCGTTTCCTCTTAAAGTCTTGATGGTAATCTTACTAGCTTGGACCTGGTAACCTTTGAGTTTTGTGAAATGACTTTGGGGAAGGCTTCTTTTCCACATTTCAGCACCAATACTGGACCAAAAACATCCCAAACACAGCAAAAGACATAGTTTGTGTGTCAAAATCCCACAAAAAAAACAAACATTCTTATTCGCTTTGGTCTTCAATTTCACATCTATCACAAACTGGAATAGCCGTAAAAATAAACTTTACTTTAGGTCAGATGTTTCAGCAGTAATAGATGTAAACAGGAGCTGAAGTTTAGTTTGTTGCTTCCAGCTGTTTGTAGGACTCTTTCCTTTGAGTTTATTAAATACCTGCAGCACCAGGATCCATATGAGCGTCTCCAATGAGTGAAAACAAGAACCGTGACTTCAATAACTACATTTAATTGTAACTTATCCCCAATATGGCGACAGGTTTGATCGGGTCACAGAGTTTATACGCTGCAATTACATCATTTTTTACAGAGTAGTCATCCTTAGGTTGAGCCCTGAGTTCCATCACAGCTGTTGGGATATTTTTATTTTATCATCAGTAAAGCACAAATTAGATTATCATCACACAAGGATGGAACTTTCAGAGTTTAGGAAATCATAAACTAGGATGTTAGCTATTTGTACGATTTGATATTCTTGCTATTATTTTAGAAATTGCCCTTTGTTCATTAGAGCGTTATTATGTACTTCACTTGAGGGGTTCAGTGCCAAAGTGGGCCAAACCACAAAAAATCCAAAGTTGAGTTTTATGTTTGTTTTGATAAATGTTTATGGTCTACTAGTTTGTGGCAAAGTGGTCCAACCAACAGCCCCCTAATAATGTCACGATGTGACTTTGAAGTTTGGCCCGTAATGGTTTTGGCATAAAAATTTAGTGGCAAACTGGATCAAGCCACAGGAACTGTTGACCATTATATCGCAGGTGCAGGTAGTCACAAGTACCTGCAGGTGCCTGTTGGTACCTGCAAGCACTTGCGATTCAAGATGGCGGACAGCGTACCTCAAGCTCCGTGAAAACTCAACTCGTAGGAATGGTAAGGTAAAATAAAAACTTAACAAGCCACCACCGAGCTGCTCTTTCTACCCCATGGTCCTCAAAAGCATCTCTAGTTCCTTATGATGATGTAAACACTTCAATGCTGTTTAGCAAGACAAACCTGGAATCAGTTTTTTTCTCAAAAAGTAGAAAATGTGGTACGGCCCACTTTGGCACTCAGCAAAAGGAACGACAAAATCAGAACTTGAATAAGTCCTCACGAAGTAGCTGTTTCTATCTCTGGACAGTGTTGGAACATCTTTGGATGCATATAGTGACTCCTCCAACAACCGATTATTTAAGCAACACAAATTTTTTTACCTCCTTATTCTCTAAAACTAGTATATGTGGTTTGGCCCACTTTGGCAGCAACCCTCTCACCTGATGATCTATCCAGTCATGTATGTCAAATACCATGTCATGTCTCTCCATCACAGTGAATTAATTGTAAATTAATTTTGCAATGACTACCTCTTTAATTAAAAACTGACAGAGCACCACTATTGGTTCCCATCAAATCAAAGGAATCCGTGGAAAATTGCACGAAGCTTGAAACACCATTCCTGACTGTCGGTTAAAATTAAGTATCTGCTGCAACTGGTCCAGTCCACGAACAGGAACCGACACGCGGCTTCTTTTGTTTTCATAGATGATTACGGCTTCGCATTTTTTGAAACAACTGCCTGTTTTCTTTTTAAATTGCTCTACAGATCGCTTAATAGATATTGGAAACTATTCCGGCTCGCATTTCTGCTAATAAGCACGATACTTCATCCTCCTCGCTATGAGCCAACTGGAGGGCGGCCAGAACAACGGGTGCAATTAGGTTTTAAATAGGTTGGTATAAATGATGGAGAAATTGACGTATGAATAAGCTACCAGCAGTGATATAAATAAAAACTGAAGTAGGTCCAGGGACAAATCTGTGTACAATCAAAAAAACAACATATTCATTTATGTTTAGGCCTTGAGATTAGTGTTTGAATATGTGCCTGCATGCCTAAGCTTGTATATGCGTGCATATGTTTCCATGGTACCTGAAGGCCGTGTGGGTTAAGGCTGGTGTTTGTCCGGCAGCTAATTGGTCCGTCAGTTTGAATCTCCATGGCATACAGCAGGTTCTCGTCACGGAAACGAGAGGGCCAGCCAATCTCAAGCTCAGACTCCCCAATACTGCTGGGACCGAAGTTATGGAGCTGGAGAAAGGGGGGAAAAAAAAATAGCAGGCAGTTGTCAGTATTTGATTCCTTTCTGTCTTATTAGCTGGTCTCAAGTGACTGAGGATATAATCAGGTTATCATAACTGTAGGATGATGACAGAGGCCACCTGTGTTTGCATTAAGATGATACTAATTCAGCCTTCAGTCACTGGGGATTGAAACACTACCAAACCTACAGCATCCCCGGCTTCAACATCCCACATCAAAATCAGGATGACTTATGAGCCTAAATCAACCATCAATTTAAGAAATCCTCTTCTTTTTTTTTAAAACCCTGACCTGTATTCTCTCTCTTACACACAAACACACATTTATGGCCTCACACAAGGTCATTAACACCGAAGCAAGTCATCCAAACAGGACATGATCCCAGTGCTGCGGGGCAGGAATTCTGCGAGAGCAAAGAAAGGAAAAAAAAAAAAAAAAAACCCTCCTCTGTCCTCTCTAACTAGAAGCAGCTGCCCACTGGGAAAAGCACCGCAAATGAAAATCATTATCAGCTGCAGGACAGGCCAGACACTGCTGCACTCCGGTTCAGTGAAGCTGCCGTCCATTTAAAACAAAAAAAAAGAAATCATGTGGAGCGCGCACGGACGCACACACTGTAAACTGTCGCCAGTCTGTCTGCCAGTCGCCCTCCTTCTATCTATTTGTCTGTGCCTCTCTTTGACCTTGTTTTCCTCTCAGTGATTATTACTTATTACACCGTGTCCCTCTTAGGAGCAACATTTGCATCCGTCCTCTCTTCCCTCCCTGCTCGCCTCACTGCCTATTCTCTCCCTCTCTCTCTGTTTTCCCTCCTTCCCGCTCTTTCCTGCCTTCGGTAATTACTCTTGAGCTGCAGACCTTTGATCAGCCAGAGCTCGACTCTTTATAGAGCTACTGTGTTTTACTGTGCGCTGCTGTTCACCTTCCACCCTCTCGTTAGCTTAATTTAAGCTTCCAACACCTCAGACATGCTTTCTGACCAGCGACAATGGGAACAAAACAGACAAGTCCCCCTATTTCATGTCAGTATGCACCTTTTCCCTTCTGCATTTACCTCATAGATGTGGGTTACTTGTGGTCCAACGTCTTCCTCTTTGACAGGCTTCTCTTTGGGTTCCCAGTTTGGGAATGGCAGCACCACCTGAGAGGGATGAGACACCCTGCAGGGAGGAGAAACGGCTCGGTGAAAACGGTGCATATACACGGTAATAGGCTGGGATTTCTTCTAAGTCCGACTTAATCTAATACTCACAAACTCAATGAATGCTGACTCACTGTAATGGCTCATTTAAGTGTTCCCTCTTTAGTGACAGAAGAACACTGTCTGGTTTTCCCCATGTAGGCTTTGTTGCCTGTGTAACAAGCTGACACTCAAATACTAGTCTGGTATCCCTAAAATCTTGCTTTGAGGCATGTTTCTTTAAAAAAAAAATAAAATAAAATAAAAAATAATAATCTAGAAAATTACACCAGAGCAAGACACAGAAACAGGAAGAGAATCATCGGATCTTCGAGTTTGCAATGGTCCTGGAGCTCAAAATGACTTTTAACAGTTTGCACCAGAAAAGTGAAGCTATGATCGACTCAGCTGCAGACAAAAATTCTGAGACTTTTTTTTTTGGGTATGTTCACTCAGAGCAGAGAGGAGACTGAGCTCAAAATGAAACAAACTGGATCAATAAAATAAATGCAGCATGGCTCAAAAACAAGGAACAAGTTGTCAGCGAGTTATTGGAAGATACATTCAGCATGGTGAGATATCTTTCAGAGTTGATGGGGAACAAAAAATGCTTAAAAACTGCTCAAATTAGCTTCAGTTAAACTTTAGAAGAGTTTTTTGTTGTTGTTGTTGCATGAAACAGACAGATGCTGGATTGTGGCTCCATTTAGTTTTTTTGTGTGTTTTTTACAGTAATGTTAAAGTAGGAGAGGGAAGTCATGGTCACAATAACAGTGTCCAGTTATGCTTTAAATGTGATGGTTGTTATATGAGTTGCACGTCAACATGAGGCTGTTTGCTACTGCAGGAACTTGCAGTCCATTTTAGGGTAGCCTAACCTATAGAACCTTTTTCAGGGCCGTTTTCAGGGAAGAAAAACGACTTTTTCTGAGGCAGAAATTTCTAAACCACACTGAAAAACTGCTTTGTGGTGCTCTACTCTGATTGGTTAAACTCAGAGACGACAACAAGTGCCATTTTTCCTCTCCTATCGATGTCTGCGTTGAGTAGCAGTCTTAAAATTCACCATATAGGCAAACAAAACAAATCCTCCATTCTATTAGTGGTTCTGGTTCTATTTGCTACTGTTGGGGTTTTGTCTGGTGTCTACTGTTTGTTGTTGTTTTGTCGGCTCCCACACCGCAATGGAAAGGGCTGAAAGGGCCAATTAGGGGTATGTTCGCACCACTTCACATGTTTCCTGCCGTGGAAAGCTGCCTATAGACATCATTAAACTGAAAGTGTCCTTCATGTTGTGGGGTTAGAAACCACTTGTCCACCATAGAATGTCTATAAAAGATGGATGTAGCCACCATATTGTCACCTACTGGTTTGTGGACTCCCGAATTTAGCTTCTAGCCGTCACTATTTTGTAATTTTGAAACCAGACGTGATGGGATGGAGGTGGACTGGACTGAGAATTGGAGGCCTTGCAACAGCCTTGTCAATAAATATACCCTGCTTTACCAATATTGTCTATTTTTCTCTAATCGGAAACAAAATTTGTAAATGACATCACGCTGTATTTAAAAAATGTTCAAGATCGAGATCATAAACTCTTTAGGAAAACGCTGATTGAGGTAACAGATTAATTAAGAAGTCGGGTCATTTTCTCAAAGACTTCCATGGATTTGGTCTTCTTTTTGCAAGCAGAGGAGTCGCCCCCTGCTGGCTGTGTTGGCTTTATAGACCTGGAGGCTATATGTATAATTTATATATAATTTATGTCCACCCAAAGCACTTGTGTTTCACTGCGGTATAAAGACCAGTGAAGATTCAGTTGTATGAAAAACGTGTGGGATGTTTTTTCATGTTATTTTTGCAAACACCTGTTACTACATGTCAATGAACAATAAACAAACTACTCACGGCTACAGCATTTTAAATGAAATGCTGAGATTACACAAGCAATCAGAAATGTTCATTCTCCCTGAAACTACCTATAGTTTTGAAAAGTACTACCCCTTGAGCAGGGACTTTCTGGGCGGTAAAATAATTTCCCTGAAATCTATTTAGACCTTGTTCCCTGTGGGGGGAAACACAATGAGTTTCTCTAAAGGTTCTTAGTCCCTGGGGAAAGATCCCATGTTGGAAAAGGCTGTATTGATTTCACGTCTGCAAGTTACACACTCAGTGTCCACTTTAGTGGGTACACCTGCACCGCTCTGGTGTAAATTCCACTTTTACAATGTTTATAAGGTTCAATTTTTGCTGAAAATACATAAATTTAATTACAGCTTTACTACTGGGGATGCAGTTAAAGGCAGTGCTGTATGGGGCTGCATTAAATTGAAATGTGTTTCTAATATTTTGTTCTTCATTATTAAATACAGAAGATTGTTAAGAATATTAGAGGTAGATTGGACTATATTGCAGTGTAGTAACAGTTTAACATATTTAGATTAGATTTAACACTTCTGAAACCAAATTAACTGAACAGTATTGGCATGTAGAGGTATACATAACAAGGGCCGCTGTTAAAACAGAAATCTCTTTTTCTTTTCTTTTAGAAAATTCAGCAGAAATGGAGATTTTCCTGGTGTGGAAATGAAACTGCTCCTCACAATCTGACCTCAGTGGGCAAAAATGTGTAAATGCCCAACTGGAGGCGTAATGTTTGTAAGCTAAGCGGACATGCAGAGAACCACACCCCGGGATCAGCCCAATAAAACTGTCTTACTTTGGGTCATTTTCAAATTCAAAGCAGTTTCATCAGGTCTCAGCAAATACCTCCTACATGTGCTACGTCAGTGCTTCAACATGCAAAACGTTTCTAATGCCAGATAGACACAGCAGAAGCAGTCCTCCTCGCGGTTATCCCGGGTCCTCCTGTGTTTGTGTGTAAAACTGACCACACCCAAACAACGCCATGCAAGGCTCCAGGCTTTGAAGTGTGTGTCTGCGCTTGTGTGTGTGTGAATCAGCGGGCATGTGGGGGCATCAGTGAACATGTCAAAATCTCGGAAATGTCCCATGTGCACACCATTAGTTCAAATTTATTTCTAGAAACGTGTTTCTCTGTCTGTATATAAACAGGGCGCACAAATTTAAACACCGCAGTAATATCCTGCAAATGGCAAAAAGCTTAGAGTGCAACCAGATCAACGGTATCTTTGCAAGGCAACAAAGAACTTTGTCAACGTTTCTCAGAGAAGATGACGCAGTCTGACAAGCATAACTCACCCACGCAAATCGAGTCGAGCTACAGCGACGATGGACAGATTCAGGCTGACGAGGTTGCTGTCGGGGTTATCTTTGTTGGAGCTGTGGAGAGATGGGGAGAGTTTTAACTAAAAAGGCATTAAAAAGTACAAAAGAGGCAGTGATATAGTGCAAGTGAATCCAAGAATAGCTCATAACAAAGCTGTATTTTCATGCTTAGCAGACTCTAAGAAGAATTCCCCTTGCAGAGAGCCTGCAGCGTTTAACCATCTGCATCTAGTGATGTGATGTATCGAAATTAAAGCAATGAAGCAAACAGTGGGCATTTTGTGCAGAGCTCGTCTCCTGTCTGGAGTTCCTCTGGGCCATCTGTCTTCTTCTGCCTCTGCGGTTGGTTTCATCAAACCACAGACAGTGACAGGACCAGGACACAGACACAGGACTTATTTACATGGCTCAGAGAAAAGACAAACAGCTCTTTGTGAGTGTGTGTCAGAGACAGGAAGGTATGCGTGAGAGTGTTTCGGTGGGCGTGTCACCTGTGGATCTGCAGCTCGAAGCTGATTTTTGGTCCAGAATCTTCCAGCTTTTGGACCGAAAACCTCAAACCAACAGACAGCTGGGCAGGAGTGTGGAGAAAAGGCAAAAGAGAGAGAGAGAGGATGCGTTAAAAAAAAAAGATGACAGAGAGGACAGATGGTCACAAATACATCTGCACATCAAAAGCCACGTCAGGTCTTTAAATGTCCAGTAATAGACAGTAAAACCCCTGTTAACCAGATCCTCTTCTGTTATTTCATAGACAGACTATCAGGATTCTGTGTGTGTGTGTGTGTGTGTGTGTGTGTGTGTGTGTGTTGATAACAGCAAGAATCTTAAATCTGAGAAAATCCAGACAACAGACACACACTTAAAAGCTACAGTTAGGTTTCTTGTCTCTCCTCGGTTTTAAATCCCCTGTCCTCCAGGCTAACTCGAACCACATGGAGGATTTAGTTCATCATCGACAGCATGGCAGCGAACGCACATGTGTACATGTGTATGTGAGCTCCGCCGAGCAACAGGTCAGGCACACGGCCCGGCGAGGGAAATGACAGCATGCAGACTAAAGAGGCAGGCCTGTGGGGGAGTCTGGGCGGGGCGCGGGACTACAAAGTGAAGCCATCTTTATGGGACACATTAGAGAGACTGGAAGGGGAAGATCTAAAGAGACAGACACCAAATGAGTATAAGTCGCTCAGGGAGAAGCCGTCACTATCAGCTGCCTGTCACAGAGAGGGGAGGTGGAGGAGGACGAAACAGAAGTCTGAAACCAACTGGTGTGTTGTAAAATCTTTACACTCCCGGCTTGAAAGGTGGTAGTTAACGTTTGTAGTTTGGTCCCTCGGAGAGATCAGTCACCGTGGTCAGCTTGGATTTACGTCTGTTGCGACGGATTGTGCATTTTTCACGGTGGAGAAAATCATCAAAACGTCCACCAAAACTTCCTCAAAGCACTTGCAATGTTGCCCTACACTCTCCGTATTCCAAAAAAATTTGCATTTTGCCGCAATACGACTACACACGCTGCTTCTTGCAGGCCCTCTTGACAGCTACAAAGCTTTGCCTCAGTGTGTTTATTCATAATTTAGCAAAACAGCGATTTTTTTTGGAAGGAGAGTGAGAGAAGTGGTTTATGTACTTCCCAAGGATGTAACTGCTGGAACGATGATGATGTCAACTAACCACTGTCACTGCACCTGAGGCCAGCTTTGGGCCAGTGTTAAGGCAAATTCATGGTTTCCAGATGACCAGTGCACACTTTAAAAGCAGACAGCAGGCATGCACATGGGTCTATTCATACTACAGTAGGTAGCATTGGTCTGCTACACAGTTGGCCTTATTGGCTCTCACAGTGAACACAGAAATCTACACAAGGCTCCTGTGGATGTTTCTAAAAAAAACAAAAAAAACAAACTGTGGCTTTGCACTTTATACAGGATGTAGCAGCTGGTTACAGATTGACTGTAGCACCACATCATGTGTGATTCTTTCCGAGGTGTGCCGACCACAATGGGTGGACATAGCACAGGATATCTGGAGAATTTACAATGTGCCACTGTGTCAGTGGAGAACACGTACAAATGTAATGCTCCTCCAAAGTCCAACAGAGGCTACTTAAATTACAACTCTGTTAGGAATGAATTATAAAGGTGTGGGTGATGGAAAATTTCCTTGTGCAGCATCTCCTCACGACCAACATTTGTTTTAAACCCTGGCACATGTACAGTGTAGACAGTCCAAGTGGTTGCAAATTTTGCCAAACCACAATTGTATTTATTTAAATAAAATTGGTATTTTTAATTGAGGAACATGCGGGTAGGATTCAACCGTCTGTCTGATGTTTTCAACAGCCTTGTGCCTTCTGTAGTCTTGCGCAGGGTGGCCACTAATCCTAAGGCTGGCGGTTCGATCCCTGGCCCCTCAATGCCCTCTACTCCACAAGTGTCCCCTGCTGAACCCCAGGAACCCCAAGTCGCTTTCAGTCTCTGTCAACACTGATATGTGAACATGTGTGCGAATGACAAACGCACTGTAAAGCGCTTCAATGTATGTGATGTATGTATATCGGTTCTCCTTCTGGAGAAAAAATGTAAACACTTCAGTTAGTGGTTTTCAGTTACATTTTTCTTGGAGTCAGTAATTTAGACACTATAATTTTGTTAAACAGTAATACAGCATGATCATAGAGTTGCTGTAGGATTTCACTGAAAGCTGATAGATGGCTATTAATTAAAACTGAAATTAGGACAAAGGAGAAGTCAAAGAGATGCAGGCAGACAGACGGGCATCAATACTGGAGCCAGAATCTGCTTTCCTTCAGGCGTCCACCTCCGACACCGATCGCTCGGCTCAGTGAGGCGCTGCAGCTGTTTCATGTGGCACAAGGAATGAACTCCAGTGATGGGGACCATTTAGTTGCACAATATAACCAGAGTCTGTATGGGGTACATGGAAGTATGTTCTGCATAAGCTCATGGATTCCTGAACGTCCAACAGGGCAAGGGGAGAGTTAAATATGGGAAACATCTGGCCAACTTGGGAGCGCACACACATGCACATGCTTTGTCCCTTTCACATGCCTTGTTATGCTCTCCTCCCCCAACAGTGTAACATGACCACATAATTGATTTATCAGAATGTCCATGCGTCACCTCGAGAGCGCGATTACACCTCTCGGCCGGCCTTGACACCTTTAGGGAAACCTCACATTCACGCATATGCTTTGTGGCACATGCACGCACGCCAGCGCGGCAGGATTTCATGTAGGAAGGGAACTCTCTTTACTTTACAAAGCCTCGATTTCCTGCATGTGTCAGCCACGCAAGAGCTAAATGGATCGTGCATGAGCGTGAAGCATAGCCATGGGAGTCGGAGCGTGCGGAATGAGGGTCAAGGTGACGATCAGTCAGGGTTGCCTTCCTCAACATGGGACGTTTCATTGAAAAGTTGTGCTTTTGAGGGCAAGAACTCACCTCCGTCCCGGCCACCATTGGGTTCCCGAGGTCGCACACCACCATCCTGGACTCGTTGATCATCTTGTACTCGCAATTTAGCTCCGAGAGAGACTAGAAGAGGGTAAATAAAATGATGGAGAGTAGGCAAGTGAATGAAAGTGACAAATAGGGAGCAGTCAGAGTCAAGTGGCGAAAGAAAGGAACAAGGGAGGGAGCATCAAAGGAGGAAGGAGAGGGAGACGGGGGAGAGAAGAGTGATGAATGCTCTGACAGTAACAATGTCATCAATCACACAGCCCCATTACACACTCATTAGCGCACGTGCAAACACACACACACACACAGACAGGAACGTGCACGCACAACTTGACCCCATCCATTTCCGTGGTCACTAATGCAGCTTGTAAATCATAATAGGAGTTTTTGGGCCTCTGCCAGTAAAGCATACCCCGCTGATAGCCTTAATCACGCTACACAAAACACACAACGCCGAGACACAACAGGATGCTGTAACCGTGGCTTCATAATGGCTCACTTCCTCGCTCCGGCTTCGTGATGTCTCAGTCTTATATCTATTTTCACCCCACCGGACCCTAACATCAAAGCAGGATAATTGATTTCAGCCGTGTGTTTTACCTCCACCTTGCGCTGAACTCCAATGTAGTCGGCCTCCGGTGGTATCAGCGCGTGGAGCTCCGTCTCGTAGGCTCCCTCTCCTCGGTTCACCGCAGTGATGGTCAGCATGACCAGATTGTCATCTCCAATCACCAGCTCGGCTCGGTCCCTGTGTGTGTTATTCAAGAAAGGTGACGGAGAAGAGGGATTTTTTTTTTAGCAACAGAGAGAAGACAGAAAATGAAGCACTTTTGCTAAAACATAATTTGACCCCAAGGGTGCATATATGTGTGTCAGTCAGATGTTTGTATAACGCTGCCATGGAGATGTGGTACAGCTGGAAACACTATAGGGAGATTTCACACACATGTGACTATAATGTGAACAACTTCAGTGTAAACTTCGCTCATTGTTTGAGAAATAACAGACGTATTTTGCCTTCGTTTGGCTGCATGTGTGTCAGCGTGTGGCTGTCTGAGAGTGTTGAGTGTTTGCAGGTCGAGGTCAGAGGACGAGGTCGTGTCGGGCTTACATGCTAGCAGAGAGCTGCAGGTCGGGGATGCAAATGTTGTCGTCGCCGCAGTCCAGGAGAATGTAAGCCTGAGAGGAAGAGAGGGGAAATGTTTAAAACATGCCACACATCATCCGTGAAACCAAAAATAGAGAAACAAACTGGGACACACAAGGATGCAGGTGTGGTGTATGTACAGATGCATACTAAAGTTCTGCTATCCTGGGAAATGTTGCTGCTGCCAGTTTTGAGCAGAAGTCTGGTTTGGTCATTTTAAAGTGAAATTAAGTGATAAAATGTGTCCTGTCTCTCTACGGTTAATACTGTGGTCCCCATTTGTGGGTGTTGTGTTCTAATTAAGACATGCAACTTCCAGCATTAAGAGAAACGTCTGCTTGTTCTCCTTTTATGAAAAAGTAACTTTCGCAGAGTCGTTTAACCTTACGAGCACTTTCAGGGTAATTTAACTGCTTTTAACCTCTTATCTTTATTTATTTGATATGATAACATTTGCAGATTTTACACTTTAGCCTTAATAGCAGGGAAAAAATATTTTTGCATAATGAAATTTTGGTGTTTTTACAAGTTTCTCACCAAAAAATTAGATTAGAATCATAATGGTGGGATGACTTACAAATTGGGAAAATATATTCCTTGTGCTCAATGGAAATAAATCTCATTATTTTATTCACTGCTGTAAAATGCTTGCTAGTTCTTGTGATATATTATCATAACATTGCATAGATTTGTGAATGTCTATGCAATGATTGCACTGAGTAGATCTGGACCTATTTGGACATTAACATATCTATGCAAAGATGAGTTCATGAGTGTTTTAAACAAGAATAATATGTGTGTAGATGGATGCACAGCCGTATGCAGATTATAAACATGATTAAATTGTCAAATCTGTTTTCCTCACTGACACTTTATCACACATACAAGCAACTAGTATCATTTGAAAGACCAAGACTTGCAGTTTCATTTCATATACGTTCCATCTCACTGCAGTAAATACTTCTGAGACCAGTTCAACGGAGAAGAAGAGAAGTGAAGTGCATCCGTCAGACTCTAAGGGTTTAAGATGTTAAATGACCTTGTTTGATCCATGATTCTGCACAGTCCAGTACTGGAATCAAAAGTGAAGAAGGGCGTGATGCACATCACAACTCAGCTCTGGAAGAACTTACAACATCATAGTATTTATTTTGCCACATTCTGTAAGTGGAGGAGCAATCATACGAGTACGTATTTCTCATCAGGCTTGCTTGTTTGATAAATAAATACCAAAGTCTGAAGCTGGGTTTTTGCTGTGCAGCAGGCAATCTCTTCTCCTTTTTTAAAAATCAGTTTGTATAACATACATTCAGTACACTGTGGGAAAAAGGACTCTGATGGATTTTCTGATGGTTCAATTCTGGATTGTAGCTGTTTGATCTGCAAAGTTTCCCATTATAAGATCTGCCTTTTACCCAGAAAAGCTCGAAATTAGGTGAGTTGGATGGTTTTTAAAATTTGAAAGTAAGCTTTTTTTGTGTCCAAGGCAAGTATTTTCATCAAAAATGAGCAACTGAAATACAATATGTGATTGTTACAGGCTCTTAAACTTGGCAGTTCGTGTTCAGAGTCAGACTTAGTCGACTTAAGTCTTTTTTATTTATGTATCCCAATGCCTCAAACCACAAATTTGCCCCAAAGGCCTTTGCAGTCAGTAGAGCATACCTTCTTTCTGCCTGATTTGGATCAAGTAAAATTAAACATTAGAACAAGAGCAATGGAGGAAGGATCCCTCTTTCATGTACAACATATAGTATGTATAAGCACACGTTCTTGGAGGAAGGTGTTACTGTAAAGGGGACTCCTGATCCTTTTTCTGTGGTTAAATTCTGGACTGTTTGATCCACGCAGGTTAGCTGGGCTGCTGTATACCGGGAAAAGCCAAAGTAGAGCTGGATATGAGGCGAGACAGATGTTTTTTTAATTTCTTTTAGTGTCCAAGGCAAGCATTTTCATCAAAGACTGACTGAATGAAATATAATATCAAACTGTCCTGGGCTCTTACACTTGGCAGTAGGAGTTCAGAGTTAGGCTTAGTGGAGTTAAGTCATTTTTATTTATATGGCCCAAAGTCGCAAACCACAAAGTCGCCCCGGGGGCCTTTACAATCTGCGTAGCATTCAACACCCTCCGTCCTGATACCCTCGCTTGGATAAACTCCCCAAAATAAAAGCGTTTAACAGCAGAGACGGAGGAGGGATCCCTCTTTGTGATGTGCAACATTAAACCTGTACATGCAGCACTTATACCCACGTGTTCTTGGAGGAAGGTGCTGCTGTAGTGGTTGAGGACAGGTGGGAGGTTTTGATCACGAGCGGGAGGAGCCAGGCTGTAGTTCAGAGCCAGAGAGATCGGGGTCAGTTTGTCCCTGAACTCGTCATCCTCCTGCGAAGAAGAAGAAGAAGCAGAACGAGAGAAAAATGTGGTGTCAGTCGAACTAAGCTGTTTTAACGTTTAACTGCTGAGTTTCACAATCGGGAATTAAAATTATGGATATTTATAACATCATTCTGAGCAGCCAAAACAACACTGAGGGATGTTTGTGATTGATCGGCAGATATATGCTTAAGTAGTCTCTAGAGCCTGCTGGATACTGGTCCATCAAAGTAGTTCAACAGTGTTATCAGAAGAAGTGGCAGCTGCTGTGGTTGATAAGATCTTTAGCAAATGCTGTGAGCTCATCAGCGAGGAATTTGCGGAGAACAAGATGTGCGTTCATTACATACTTGTGGGCAGAATTTACTAGAACCTCGGCCTCAGGCTGGTCTGTTATGGTGGTAAAATGTTGTCATATGCGGTCACACTTAAGTGCCATAGTATGCTTCAAAAACAAATTGCTTCTCACTTGCTGTAGCTTCTGATGTAACTACAAGCATCTGCAATACCACTTTGCTGATTCTAATTCAAGATATCTGTAATTGCATTTTGAAAAGGAGAATTCCCAGAACAGCATCCATCCATCCATCCATCCATCCATCCATCCATCCATCCATCCATCCATCCACTATCTATACACCACTGAATCTTCATCTATCCCAACTGACAGGTCACAGGGCTACACTTAGAGACAGACAACCAAGCACACTCACATTCACGCCTTCGGACAATTTAGAATCACCAATTAACCTCAACATGTTTTTGGACTGTGTGGGAGGAAGCCGGAGAACCCGTAGAGAACCCACACTGCACGGGGAGAACATGCAACCTCCACGCAGAAACATCCCAGGTGTCCTCATCGGGACGTGAGTCGGCAACCTTCTAGCTGCGAGGCAACGATGCTAACCACCGATCCACCTTGCAGCCCCCAGAGCAGCATCATTGGGTTCAAATTTAATTCACAATGAGGACAATGTAGATATGTTGAACTGAAAGGAGTTAACTGGAATCACAACTAGTCATAGTTCAGCTGCAGATATCTGTATCTCATACTGCAGATAGCTGTGATCAGAAACACATGAGAGGTAAAAGTGATATCATTTGTCCTGGAAGAATGATGATGTGGCGATGTGAAATACAGCCGAAAAGGCGACGGGGTCAGTCCACGAACAATCAATCCAGCTCAGAGTCAGAAGATTTATTGTACTCAAACTTTTAGGGTGAGCTCTGTCAATAACAGCAACCAAATCAACTTTACATCCACACAAGCATCATAATCTAAAGCCCAAATCTCATTTTCTTATTGTTCAGCATGATTTTATTCGATAACCAACTTTAAGCATCAATATCATGGGATATGTGATAGTTTTAAATAGCAAAACTGCATCAGTTTAATGTCTATAACAGAGATGGCACCCTGGATGATCAGCTGGGAAAACGCTATAAACACTATTTTTATGGCGCTGCGATTATCAAGACTGAACAGGCTGCTCATGACATAAAGTGGAAGTTTGATCTGAAAACCACATCTTTGTACATGTTGTAATGTCTCACTTACTCAGCTTTATCATGGTTTAAATATTCAAGTAAACAGATTCTGAAATGTTAGATTTTATTAGTGTCAAAGTATGACTATATTAGAAAATTGTTTTGTCACAGAAGGATTTGAGACTAGCCTGGTATCAAATGTACATTAAACCGATGCAGTTTTATTGTGGAGGCTGTGATACGAATTTGAAGTCGGGCTGAACAAAAACAAAGATTTTGGCTTCAGATTGTGACACCTGGAGTGGATAGCTGTAGCTTTTAACAGAGCTCAAATGTGTTTTTCATCCCTGAAAATTTATGTCTATCTCTTGTACTTATGAAGTTATGAGGCTCAGAAGTGCTGGAAAAAGTTTTCTGACCAACCTCTTTGTACTCAGAGGGCCGGTTGCTCTGAAAATATTCAGAGTATGAAGGTAAGATTTTGCAGGACTTCAGTAAATATTGAAGTTATCGTGCACAGAAAATCAGCTGATTCCCAGGAGGTCAGATGAGAACTTGGTTGACTTTACATGCAATAACCCAATGATGGATATCTGCAATGCAATCACTGATAAACGTTGAATGATTCCTCTGCGAGAGTCACAACATCACATGCAAAGCTTATTTGTTTCTGTGTGTAACCGCTTACTCTGAGATAAATCATGTAGGTCAGACATGCACGTGGACGGTTGTGGCCCAGCTTGAGGAGCCCGGTGTGCTGAGGCTGCTGGGTGTCCAGGAAGAGAACCCGCTTAACTCCGCCCCTGCTGCCCTTCAGCCAATCCAGCTGCAGCTCGGCTTTCAGGTCTGGACAGAAGAAGAAGAAGATTTAGGATAGAGAGACTTTATATTTATAGAGAAGTTGAGAATTCAGCCAACCACACACATGTTAAATCCACAAGGTCCGGTCTGGGGTGTGTGTGAGACTTTCCATTAGTTATGTAGTGAGAAATCATTTGTAGGAGTTTTACTCTGCAGAGAATAATTAAGAAGGTGGAAACAATGAGTCTCATGTCTGTTCTTGTTCCGACTCTCCCTGCTGCCTTTTGTTCTGGGCTCTGATTGGTGAGGCAGAGCAGCAGTTTCTCGGCAGGAAGCTCTAATGAGATGTACGACAGAGCCGGCTCTGACTACTTTCCCACCTCCTGTGCTTTTCCCTCTTGCCTCTCTAACTCTGAAACCGACCCCGCTGTGCACGGCTGCTTACCTACAGAGCTGGGGATCCCCACGCCGCTTACCGCTGCACACACATCCACCTTCAGGCTGGAAGAGAAGAGTATCAAGAAATCAGTGATGACTTTCTGCAGCAATATTTAAAATGTGAGCTGATGCAGAATCATATAAAGAATTTATGTGGTAAAGACTAAGAATTAGGTGTTTTTTCTCACACTAGTAAGTTCATTAAATATGACCGCACACTCGGGTTGACCCAGTTCAGCCTTTGCTAGACGACAGTTAATTTCCAAAGGGGGGGTGCTGGAGCACATTGCTCAATTTAAACCCTTTTATTGTGGAAACAGACGAACGCTTCGACACTATTGAATCCGGGATGTGTCGTCATCAGAATCTCCGATAAAGACACATCAGAGGCTCTGGTGAAGACACAGCAGTGTTGAAATGTTTTATGGCACAATACAAGGCTATGAATTAAGCAGTGTGCTGCAGCTCCCTGTTTTGAATTTCGCTGTCCTTGAGATCGCTTGTTCCAGCTGGAACCCTGTTTCTACCAACTAGAGTTAGTTTAGATACGAAGACAAGGCAGCACAACACTTTAGTTCTGGCCTGTTTTGGATAGTTACCAGTGAAATACAGAATTAAGCTCAAAATGTCACGTTTAAAGGAGTCTCAGGAGGTTTCAAACACCAATAGCAGCATTGGTTAGGCTCTGGAACAGTCTCCACATTAAATCTTGTCCCATCTATCCATCCATCCATTATCTATACACCGCTTAATCCTCACTAGGGTCACGGGGGGGCTGGAGTCTATCCCAGCTGACTCAGGGTGAAGGCAGGGGACACCCTGGACAGGTCACCAGTCTATCACAGGGCTACACTTAGAGACAGACAACCAAGCACACTCACATTCACACCTACGGACAATTTAGAATCACCAATTAACCTCAACATGTTTTTGGACTGTAGGAGGTAGCCAGAGAACCCCGGAGAGAACCCACGCTGCATGAGGAGAACATGCAAACTCCACACAGAAAGATTCCGTGTGTCCTCACTGGGATGCGAACCACCAGCCTTCTAGCTGCGAGGCAACGATGCTAACCACTGCGTCACCTTGCAGCCCTAAATCTTGTCCCACTATTTCTAAATTCAAATTAAAAATGAACCTTCTACTCTTGCTTTTAGTTCTTCCTGATGATGCCCTGTCATGCCCTCTCTTAGTTTCTTTTATTGCCCCACTGTGTTGTATTGCTCAGTTGCTTCATTTTACTTCGTTTTGTTTTGGTTTTTTTTGCTTGAACAGCTCTACCTCTTTTCCAATCCAGTGTACATACTTTTCTTTGGCCATCACGTTCCTACAGTTGTATTCACATGTTCACACAAGAGCTTTATGATTTTTCTTTTTTCACTTCCTCCATGCATTTATGTATCTGTACTATTGCATCATCTTTGTGTCTTCTCTCTCTTGTAGTCTGAGTTTTGTCTGGTTCAATCAACCTGTCTGGTATTTATACGTCTCTCTGCTTCTCTTTCCTCTCTTCTCTTCACCCTCACCCCAACCGGTCGAGGCAGACGTCTGAGCCTGGTTCTGCTGGAAGTCTTTTTCCTGTTAAAAAGAAGTTCTGCTTCTCTGCTTTTGCTAATATGCCACTCATATAAATTCTGTCATAGTCTTTGGGTTAGTTTCATGTTGTGTGTTATTTTGAAACATCCTTCTCTTGTGTGTCGCTTATGTTTTCCTCCCTTTGTCTCTGTTTCGATTTTCACTTGTGTTTCACGAGTCACCTTGTTATTTCCACAGTTTTCACTGTATAAATGGTCTTGTCTTTCCTTCTGTATACTGTTTTGTTCTTGTATTTTATTTTATTTTTTAACCTAATATGTTCCAACCTAACTTTTTCCCTGTGTTTCATGCGCTCCTAGTGTTCGTCTGCTTTGATTCGTTATTTTAGACATACACTTAGACTTTCAGTTTGGACTTTTTCTGGACCACCAGAAATCTTAGTGACTTTTAATTAAAGTGTTTGGCACTTTCTCCTGTCTGTCTGTTGTGTCTAGATTTGTTGGGTTTTCCGTGTATACATTTTACAATCAGTGAGGTTAACATTTAGTTGAACCTAACTGCTTCCTGTTTGTAATATCGTTGCGCAGGATGTCAAAGCAAAGCTGGAGTAAGGAGGATGGCATCTGGTTTGGGAACCCTAGAGTCATGTATTTGCTTTTTGCGGATGACGTGGTTTTGTTGGTTTCTTCAGACCGTGACTTTTAGTGCACAGCGGGGCAGTTTGAAGCCGAGTGTGAAGCACCAGGGATGAGAGTCAGCACCTCCAACTCTGAGGCCATGTTTCTCTGCCAGTAGATTACTCCCTTTGGGTTGGAGGTGAGTTCCTGCCCCAAGCGAAGCATCTCAGGATGTTGTTCACGTATGACGGAAAAATGGAGCGTGGGATGGACGGACGGATTGAGGCAGCATCAACAGTAAAGTGGGCGCTGTACAGATCCGTTTTGATGAAAAGAGAGCTAAGCTGGTGGGCAAAGCTTTCAATTTAGAAGTCAACCTGTGTTTCAATCCTCACCTGCAGTCATGAACTCTGGGTAGTCACCAAAAAAACAACATCCAAGCTGCTGGAATGAGTTTCCCTCATAGGGTGGCTGGGCTCAGCTTTAGGGTGAGGAACTCGGAGTAGAGTCACTGCTCTGTGGCATCAATAAGAGCCACATGAGGTGGTTCAGTCATGTGATTAGGATGCCTAAGAAGCCTAGGCTGCATTTCTTTGCACGTTTTCTACGTAGATTCTTAATCACTCTTAACAAAATTAGTCAGGTAAATTAGTATTATATATAATACTGTAGGGTCTTAACTGTAATATTTAAATGACTCAGGTAAATTTAAACTGTAAGGTTATATCATAATATTTCAACTTACTAATGCTAGTCTTATTTCTCTACTGCAAAGCACTGTAGCTTGGTGTCTGCAGTTTTAAATGTGCTGCACAAATACCAAAGCGCCGATGTTGTTATGCATTTTGTTCACACTTCTCCTTGACATTAACATGACCGGCAAAATCCTAAAAAACAACAACTGTATAACTAACTAACAAAATAATCTGCCCATAAACAAGGCATTTCTTCCGCCCTGTACTCCAGGGGGGCAGCGGGAATTACCGCAGAGGCCCCACCATTAGACACGCAGACATGGGAGACTGCGAAACATTTCTGCATTTCCTCTATTTATGTGTGCGCTAGCTTATGTGTGAGTGGGTTTGCATGTGTGTTATCGCCTCTGTAATCAACAACAGGAAAGTGACGCTCACACGGGGAGGCCACATCCAGTAATCTGGAGAAGCTTACGGACGCAACGCTCCTGCTGCTACACTGAAGACTCAGCAATATGAGGCATGAAGCAAATGACTTCATGTGATTATTGTTTGTTTGGTTTAAGCTCACAATCCCTAACAACCAGAATGCAGATGTTGTGGATGCTTGTGCGTTTGTTAATAATTAGGATCCCCATTAGATGACACAATAATGATGAGCTCGTTTTCCTTCGCTGAGAATGTGTGTGATGCAGATGTGAGTTTATGTGTGATAAAATGCAGGTTTCTATTTAAAAAAAAAAAAAAAGATTGCTCCCTTAAGCCGCTTTAACCTCTCCAGGTGGTGCCTATTTAATATGTGTTGCATGTAAGCATGTGTATGTTTCATGGTTTTGGGAGTGTGACTTTAATAAGCAGTGTGTGTCGAACTTAAACGTACGCAGCAGAGAAATGACCCCCCGGTTTACTGACAACAGCTCTGGTCCTCAGTCAGTCATTACTGGATGTAATTTTCCCCAAATGCATCTGTGCTCCTCCACCCCGCACTCCGCTATCCGGCCCTCCCTGCACGCTTCCTGCAACACCGAGGGTCTGCTTAATAAGTGAGAAAGTTCACTTTGCCACAGCCTTGGCCATTTGGCTGACGCATAAACACTTTAGATTTGTGACGTGGCCACACAAAACGTTGTATAAACCACTTCTTTTCTGGAATAATTGACTCTAATACTTGGCTAAAACCAAGTATTTACATTGTTCGCATGTCCATATGGTGTTTTTCATATGCAAGAAGACATGTCATGTGGGAAATAAGCAGTCAGCTGAGCATTTCCACCTTTAAACTGCAGTGTAGTGATGGTTGTGTCCAAAACATGGATTCAGACTTTCAGGGTTTTATATGTAGCAAACCTAAGTAACCAGTCCTGTCACGTTCCAGGATGGAGCTTTGGGTATCAAACACGTAGCTGGAAATGATAAATGTTCTTGCTCCTTATGCAAATATTATTTTGATTAAAAATATAAAGCAATGCAAAGCTCTGCTGGGAAACTGGAGATTCCAACCTGCAACCCACAGCACCCAAAGGATCCACTGCCAAGATTCCATTGCCAGACACCATTAGACAAACCCAAGAGGTCCTGAGTTCACTGCCTGATCAGTCAGACCTGTTATGGTGGTAGACCTACACAATAGCGATGATCGTGGGATACCAATATGATTGATATTACACGTTAAAGCTACATTGCGGGGCAGGAAGGTGGATCGGTGGTTAGCACTGTGGCCTTGCAGCTAGAAGGTTTGCATCGTCCCGGTGAGGACACCCAGGATCTTGGTGTGTGGAGATTGCATGTTCTCCCCATGCAGCGTGGGTTCTCTACGGGTTCTTTGGCTTCCTCCCACAGTCCAAAAACATGTTGAGGTTAATTGGTGATTCTAAATTGTCCGTAGGTGTGAATGTGCTTGGTTGTCTGTCTCTAAGTGTAGCCCTGCGATACGTGGATGGATAGAAGTTACATTGCTAGCAAGAAGATATTTAATTTCTCACTACCGTCTTCATCCTGTTTCAGACATGCAATCTTAATAGGCTGGGCCGAGTAACATTTCTGTATCTTGTTCAACACAGCACGGATCTGACCTGCATGCAGTAAGATTGAGTTACTGGCATGAACAACAACGTACTTTGAGTTGTGTGAAGTGATTTAGAGAATGCGTTTCCCACATTTCAGCAATGATATTGATTTTAAAAAGATCACAGAGAATACAAAAGATCAAGTTTGGGATTTCAATTTCTTCGCCTTGCAATTTCACATCTATTCCAAACAGAAATGTCTGCTAAAAATAAAACTTTACTGCAATGAGCGTAGAATGTGAAATAGATGTAATTAAGGAGACTCGTCAATTTTGAATGCAATTCAGATTTTGACTAATAGGAGCTGAGGTTAAGTTTGTTGCTTCCAAGCTGTTTGTAGGAGTCTTTCCTCTACGTTTATAAAATGCCTGCAGCATCAGACAGCAGCAGGATCCAACTTAGTGTCAAAGAGTTGACCTATGCAGTTGGAACAACAGTCGTAGCTTCGTTCATCACTTATAATTATACATTTTCCCTGACACAGAGACAGGATTGTTCAGGATCTAACAGCAGGTCACACTGTGTCCTCAAACATCTCTTTATGTACTGTTCAGTCTTGCATGTATGACAAATATTGTACCGCGTCCCTGGTGGGTTTGTTTGAATGAAACTGTGAGTAACAATAGCGTAAAAAATGACCTGTGTCCTTATGACAAAATGCCATCACCTATATAGGTTGATGAAACAGCAACGCTAAGTATTTCATGTCTGAAAAGGGCTTTTGTTTCAAAAAGAGGCACAACTCGTTTTTTCTCTCTCTCTCTCTATTTTGATCATAGAACAAACAGAATATTTTTTCAGCCAGAGGGTTAGCTGAACCTTTGAGGATGGCAGAAACACATCCAGAACAACAGTCGGTGTTGTTAAACGACCTTTAGGTTTAAAGACCGCTTGGTGATTATTTTCCTGGAAATCAGACGCCTAACTGTGTGACTCGAATGTCATGGTAATACGCGAGGCTTCTCTCTTGCTCATACTGCAGGGAAACTAACAGAACTCCACGAAACTTCGCACTCTTCCGAAACACAAGAGCCTCAGACGGACTTTAAATCTGCTGCTGTTCGACTCCCCGCGTGTGCGTCCGTCCTCTCCGATTCCATATCTCGGACCGAAATTTTATGGCGGTTTATTTAAATAAGCTGAGTTTTGTTTTGACAAAATTCCGCAGTTTAGTGCTCTCTGTAAATCCGACCCAAACCCTGTTCCCTTTTCACTCAGTGCCAATACTCACACACCACCACGCAGACACCGCGATGGCAGCTGGCCGAGCCCACTTCTCCCATCCAAATAGTCCTGCAGCAGTTTCAGCCCCAATAAGTTTGGACCAACAACAGACTGTGGCGAAGCAGCGGGAGCCTTTAGACCGGTTTCCCCCCTCGACTAAACTCGCCCCCAGACTGTTCAAAGACAGACTGCTACCCGCAGGAACAATAATATAATCAAAACAGAATTATGCAGTTTCAAATTAATTGCAGAGTCCCGTAAATCTGACTTTCCAGGTTATACGAGCGGCGCATTTTCATTACAGATGCAGACAAACAGACGTTGGCTGATGGCAGACATCTAGAGCGCAGGGGTGAAATATTTGTCACATCTGTCAGTGCGAGTGTGATTTGTGAAAGCGTATACTTTATGCTGCATACCATTTTATCATACTGTATAAGCAGCATGATTTCTGTTACAGATCTGGGGCTCGGTGCAGCAGAGGGCCTCATTAGTGTGTTTGTTTAAGACTTTGATCCCTTTAGTTTTAATTCACCTGCACACACACAGACACACACTGTTTCCAGGCTCCAAACTACAAATAAATTGGACCGGAGTATGAGTTTTCACACTGGAAAAGCGGCTAAATTAGAAATATTCCTAGATGTAACCTTTTCTGTTCTTGGCTACGAGTGTGGTGTCGATCGGCTCCTTTGTCCCACAATGCAATGCCAAACGGAAATGGCTGAGCTACACACAGCTGGGAAAAGTTACAACAAATTGTGGTGAAGAAGCAACAGAAACATCTCACAAACAAGAGAAAAAAAGTGTCAACTCTCTGGAAAATGGTTTGCATGTTTAATTGCTCGCTGTGTTCCAAAGTCAGCATTTTGGTTTTCTATCATGATCTTTGCTCGTTTGTTGTGCTCTCGTCGACATTGGCATATTTCTTTCATTTTGCTTGTTTAACCTCATTGAGACTAGATTCTGTTATTCAAGAGAGACTTGGGCCAAGAATGGAAGCATTAAGACGTTGTTATGATAATAAATACCCAGTTAAGAAGTACAAATAGGCACGAGTTTCCAAATCTACACTACAAATTTAGAAGTGCATTTAAAAAACTTTTTGCACAACCTTGCTCTAACTCCAGTAACTCACATCTGTGGCACGAACAAAGGCCATTTTACTTTTAATTTCCAAAAATATAAAGTGTGTATGTGGGTAAAGAGGAGCTGACTAAAGGACATTTCCAGTATTACATGTAACTGAACAACTGGGGCTGTGTGGTTTATCAACACTACACAGATGGGTGACAAATTAAAGGAGAAACCTGAACCCTTGACCCCTCCAGTGAGGGGATCTGGGGGGCTCTGCTCTTAGCTGGCATGGTTTCCACTTCTGCGCTTAGAAGGGAAGGGTCACTGCAAGTCAATACAATGCTGTCCTGAGTGATTACCTTTATCCTGAAAAATGTCTATCTAGATGGATGACGACGCCATCATCCATAGGAGCCAACAAACGGTTTGATAAAAATGATGTGAATCATTGCTGCGACCTTCACAGGATCTCAACTCCAATGAACACCTACATGTCGGACTAACGTTTGAAGGCCAATTCATGCTTTCCACGTTTGCAAGGGTCTGCATCAAGCACATTTTTTCTTCTGTCTACGAAGATCTGTGTGTTGCATCTGCGTACATTTGTGTGCAGGCTGCCTGGGCTGTTCATACTGCAAGTATGCTGACTGCCAGTGTGTCAGGAAGACAAATGGAGCTTAAAACAAACGCCACACCTTTATAAAAAGAGTCGTAACTGAAGCAGTGGCTGCCAGACTCTTGAGGTGCTTTGATTTGTGCATGCTTTATAGAGGAAGTTTCAAACTTTCAAGAAACCGGAACACCTCCGGAATACGCACGATGCTACAGCCCGATCTGTAACCAGCTGTCATATCCTGTAAAAAGCACAGACTCACAGTGTTTCTAAAGCATCCGTGGAAGCTCTCTGTTTTTTTTTCTGTGTTCCATATGAAGGGCGACCATCTGCGAAACAGGCCGATGCGTTGCTATTGTAGTATGAATAAAACCACGTGCGCATCCGCTGTTTGCTATCCACATCAGTCGTGCGGAAAGCATGACTTTGCCTTAAGGCAGGTGTTTGGTCAGTGTTGTACTTTGTGCGAGGCTCTGCAAGGGTCCACGTTATGTGAATTTTGTCATCTACCCAAGTCCACGCAGAGTGTTTTGCAGATGTACAGTCAAAAATTGGTGTCCGTGCAGCTACTATGCTAAAAAAGACCGTAGTGTGCAGGCACAGAATACACCAGTACAACCCACTGTGCATGTATATAATGCAATCCTTGAAGTGGCTAGAAAATTTCTAGAATGATGCGAACTAGGTGTCTGCAAAGAAGTGCAATCAAGGGTTAAACAAAACCGTGTTCGTGCAAACTTTCGACGTCGACATCTGTCAAAAGTTTGAAGCAGAAACCAAGAATTGGCCTTTAGATAGCACCCTCTACCACCACCATCAAAGGAAGGAATACCTTTTGGTAAAATGGTGTTCCAACCCTCCAGCAGAGATCCAGACTCTTGGAGAATCAATAAGAAGTCTTGACTGGCAGCACATATTGGTGTAACACCTTACTGAGATGCTTTATGTTGGTAATTTGTCACCCGTCAGTATGTCTGTGAAGATTCTCAGTCATCCAGGTCATCGTTATTAGTCACGAACAACAAACCCCCATTGAAACAAGTGTTAATGGCTCCTTAAGGATAGAAGTATCTGGAACTCCCAACTAGTCACCCAGAACTGATGAAGCCTCTTGAGAGGTGAAACGTCTTCAAGAAACTCAAGCAAGTCCAGTTGCTATGATTAAACTATGAGAACACCTGTCAGTATGTTATTAAGGTATGGTAATGAGTTTTTACCAGGTAACCATGGTGTTCATCTGGGGCAGGTGGCACTGTCGGTCATCGGGATTCAGGATTCTGGGAGTCAAGATCATCGAAGCTTCCACAGATACTACGGCTTGAGCCCTGCACGTGCAAACACACACAAATGCGTGAACATACCACAATGTTAGGCTACACAAACTTTAAGACTTGCGCATTTTTACCTGTACACTGACACCTCGCCGACACCGAACGCCCCCACGATCAGATCTGCAGACAGAGCAAGAGAGTAAGAGAGAGAGAGAGAGAGAGGGAGAGACGGGAAATGTAGGGCTTCAAAGAATGCAACAGATGGGACTGATTTCAAGGTCTCCAGCAATCTTCATCAAACACAGACTTCTCACGTTTAATACACACACAAACACACACACACACACTTACTATAATATAGCATTCTGATATCACCACGCTTTTTTCTTTCATCTTGCATAACCCTTTTCGGGCTAAATTCACAAACAGAACATGCATTCACGTGTTTGTATCCAGACAGGGACCCCACGCTGCATTCCAGGCCCGTTGGAGTTCACATCGCTCCCGATCGCATTTTGCTAAACAACAACATTTCCCAACAGCCCGCGCAGCAACAGATCCTAATTGTAAGCAGCGCCAGATTTCATCTATATGCGAGTTTTTATTTGTTTTCATGGCTTTTTGTGATGAACACACACTTTTAATTGGCTCTCAAGGTTTAAAATAGAGCTGGTATTTAATGGCTGCGGTCAGGGGACACATACCAACGAGAAGCCGCACACACACACACACATGGACGCACACATACACACAACAAGCGCTGATTAAAACAATGTGAAACTGAAGAGAGGCACTTAATGGATGCAAGCCACCGCTGCCAGATGCGGCAGAAAACTGGGTTGTGTGATCCTGAGAAAGACAGATTAACCTCATGCTGCTCGGCCAGAGGAACCCGGGGCTTCGGCTAATGATTATGCTCGTGATTAATTAATCTTGTGTTATTTTTATGATTAGATTATTAATTCTGTGCCTGGAAAACGATAGCAAACAGTTAAAAAAAAAGAAGAAAAAACTGCCACTCGATCTGTTAAATCTATGCCAATTAATTTTATTAGCTAACTCATTAATCAACTGTACTTAAAATCAGCCTGAAATGCTGCTGTAACCTGCTGCAAGTGTGCTCATGAAGACTTTGCCTGTCATTTGCTGAGTCTTTTCCTCTCTTGTGTATTTAAGAAAAAAAAAAAAAAAGGGACTAATTGAATCTGAGAGAGGCACATCTGTTTCTGCCTTTGGCTGCAGTCACCGAGTCCCCCTGAAACCACAACATTAAACATTTAAGCCCTGTCCCTGTTCCCCTGGGGAGAGCTATGTCACTATGTGAGTGTGTTGCTCTGTTTGTACTGTATCGAAAAAAACCTGAGATGAAAAAGAACCTCAAGATGTGAGGGTTTTTTCGGAGCAGAGGGCCAAGAAAGGAGGAGGAAAAGAATGCGGATGAAGATGGAAATGATGGGCAGAAGATCGTGCACTTGGCCTTTAAACCGCAATCTGCAAAAGCCATCAGAGGCAAGGTGTGTTTCAAGCAGAAAGGGAGGGACCGCCTCATAGCCAACATTCCTCCATCCATCCCACGGTTCTAGTTATGCAACCTGGAAACTGCAACTCCGCCCCTGCTGTAGGTTCGATACAGTCTCCTTATCCTCGCTCAGAAATGCTGCATGACACGGGGCTGATTTGAGGATTGGGCGCCTTTGGGGTTAAGTGTGTGTGAGAGCGTACACATGGCTGCACCGAGAGCTAAATCAAATAACAGCCCACTTTCCCTCCCATGTCAATCCCATTTCCTTACACACAGGAAAGCTTTCCCGCCACCGTTGATTTGAGGTCTATGTGCGTACAGAGACACACTGAACCATATCCGCACTCAAATGGCATTCATACGATGGCGTTTCTCGGTGCAGGTACGGGTTTTGGTAACTGAGCCGCTTTCGCTGACGGTGTCCGTCCTGCGCTGTGCAAACACAACCTCCAACCAGAGTTTAGACAGACTGTCAAGCTGTCACTGGCTGTCTGCCTGTTCGGCTGCAGGGGACTGGCCCTGATGATTAAATGCCAAAGGTCAATGGCACTCAGTGGAAAAGAGGTGGTTTTTAAGAGGGAAATGGAGGATTTCTTAATTCTTGGATGCGTGTGTGGTATTTTGGACTCGTCAATAAGTTGCCAGCTATTATACATATTTGGGAAGCGCTATGCTCACACTGCACAGCAGGGGGAATTGCACAATTCAAAGTGATTTTTACACAACCCTGTGAACCCCAAAACTCACCGGAAGGTTTTAGAAGCATATTGTCTTTAAAAAAAAATCACTAATATTACCCCATTTATCAGAGCTAGAAACTGTAAAAATACAAGGAGTGATCAGCGATTTAACTTTCTGACAGTCTGTGAACAAACTGTGTGTGATGTGCCATTTTGTCAGAAAAATGCACCAAATCTTGAAGCTTGAAATGGTGATTTTTAAAAAAGAATCACTTTGTTGTACATGTTTCTTGAAGAAAAATGGCAGTTTTCACCAGATTCTGTAAAAAGCGCAACTGAGAAGAAATGAGTGACTCAGATGCGAATTACAGCGATGTGACTAAAATTCTGTGGATTTTCGGTTGAACTGCAGGCAGTGTTTACGCACAGCAGAGAGGAGACGACAAGAAGGCTCAAAAATGATAAACAGAGAAACAAATTTGTCAGCAGCTTATTGGAAGATACACGGTGAAACACCTTTCTAGAGTTGATGTGAAATGTTGTGAAAAATATCTGAAACATGTGGAGCCATGATTTCTTTTTTTCATGATTGCACATTTGGAAAAATGTTGGACACATTGCTTCCAGGTTTTTTTCTCTTTTTTTTGTAAAACATAATCAAATAAATGTAACTTTTTTCTGATTTATGGCATTATAACTGCGTCATACTGCACAGGAGACATGTCTGAGTTGTCTCTACTTCTAGTCACGGTTGTGCTGTTTCAAAAAAACACAGTCACTAATTAGCCAAGCAGACGTGGAAGCAGCCTGGTGATAAATTTCACACCTACTCGCCTACCAAATGAGCAGCCTAATGACCCCTGGCCACCAAATACATGCAAGCCGCCGAACCCGGACGATGTTTCTGTAACTCTTTCAGCGAGTGATTGACAAGTAAAACACTGTCAGTTTTTGACCCTTAACCCGTCGGCTGAACCTGAGATGCACCCTGAGGCCGTTTGACCCCGCCGATCCACGGCTGACCCCGGCCTCCGTGCACCGAATGTCAACTCAGTGCTGTCTAGGTGTCAAAAACAAACATGCTGGAGTTTAATTAAGCAGTGAGCAGCGCCATTTTGGTTCTACCTTCTTTTTCCTTTATTTAGCTTCCTACTCTAAGCCATCAATGACATAATCTCTGTAGATAAAGTCCATTAAAGCTAAAAGCGGAGCCCCGTCATCGTCCTTCCTTCCCTCCTGCGGTAGCCTAATGACATTTAACGTCGTCGGGAGCATGTGGCGGCTGCAGCAGGCCTCCCAGACGCCCGAGCAGTCCTCTCATAACGCGGATCAAACATCTCGGGCTCCTTTGAACAGTGTGACTTTACTACCCTGCAAACGACGCACCATGTGTGTGCGACTCACTTCCGTCAACCGGCTCGCTAATGACAGACGACACAAGTGCTGCACGCTTGTGTGTATGTGTGTGTTTACACAGCGCGTGTGTGTGTTGGCTGAAAGCGCCGCCACCCGTGAGTTTCCACTCTACTTCCTCAACCCAAAGGGAATCCACCCGGTTTTAACCTGAAGTGTGTGTATTTACCGTAGAAAGTTTTTTAATCCTGATTTGCAGTGTGACCTGGAGTCTGGCACACACTCAACACACACTGAGCACAAGCCACACATGTGAGTATCCATGTGCGTGCATTTTGCTCGATATCCTGTTTGCGGAATGAAGAAATATGTTATTATAGCAGAATGAAAAGGGGAAAAAAGGAGAGAGCGGAGGCAAAGAAAAGAAAAAACTAAACAAAGTCTCATTGCACGTTTAATCTGTGGAAGCACGAAGCCAAAGTAATGCTGAGAGCACAATTGCTCCAAATTAGGGAGAAAATAAGGTAGTAAAACAGTGGTTTTACAGACCTGCTTTGTTTAATATACCTTTTGTAGACTCCTATGTATAAATAGCTTCAAAAACATAATCTCCTTGTCAGTTTGTTTTATTATTCAAGTGTAGTTTTGATATATTTGGAAAAGCCAGAAAGCGAAGGTGTCTGGTAAAGCGAGTAGGTGCCACAGAAAGCAGGGAGTCGCTGCATGTAATCTGGCAGAATGCTGCTTTGTCTGCTCAGTTTTAGGGAAACAGACGTAGCCTTGAATAACTCACAGGCCGAACATGCGGATAATGTATTATTATCCATCGTTCCTTCTCCCCATTTTGCGTTTTCTCTCCTACTTGTAAATCCCTACAGAATGGATGCGGCAGCCGTTCGTGGCACACATCCCCATACCCCCCATCTGATGACTTTACCAGAGCAGAGGAGGAAAGGCAGCAGAACATGGGGATGGTGGCGGAGGAGTGCATGGGGGAACGATGAAATGTGGAGGTCAACAACGAAGAGGAGGGAGGCTGTAATGAAAGGAGCTGGAAGCAGAGCGAAAGAATCCAAGTCCGAGGAAGAATTTTGATTATAACACGGGGAGCTGAGTGGAGAGGACAGAGGGTTGGCTTTGCTGAGTGATTACCGGGATACTGATTGTTGTCCACGTCTTGGCCTCCTCTCAGAGTGAATCCGAATCCAGGCAAACTGGCCCCGGGGCTCGAGGCCGCTCGCAGCTCCTGGCTCAGCGTCAGGCCTTGCGTGGACACGTCTCTGTTGCCGTTAAAGATCAATACTCTGCCTCCACGCTCCTCGCCTCCGAACGGACAGCCCACCGCCACGTCTAAGGGATGACACACACATGTATGGTTTATGCATCAGCAGGGTTAAGGGGCCTGCGAGACAGAAGCAAAGGAAAACATACAGGTAGAAAGGAAAGGAACGAGAGAGGAAGGAAAAGAGCTTGACCTCCTTACACATGTCCATTTACTTACTTTCTTTAACTAAAGTTTGTTTGATTTATTCTTTAATCTTATCCCAGCTCTTTCTTTCCAGATTTGTCCCGGGCATTTTTTAGATCGTTGCTCTAACTATAACTCTAAGTGGCATGAGATGACTCATAGCAAGCACAAAGAACGGACACAGAGGAAAACAGCCAGTCTTACTTTGTCCAAAGGTAACAAAATCTGCCCACCAGCACTTCTGGACTGAAGCCACGAACAGTTTGTCCAAATGAATCCCAAAACCCACCAACAACATTTTAAAGACATGTTTTTAAAATGTCTTCAAAAGATGGCCAAAATTACAACATTTATCAGAGCCACAAAACTGTAAAAACAGACAGAATTCTCTGATTCTCTGACTAATGATGTGTAACGCCAGAGAAACAACCAAGTCTAACCCTAAAATCATTATATTTAATCAAAACTTTACTTTATTCCGAATGTTTCCTTTAAAAATTTGCCAAAAATAATGTCTGCTCTGATGAGATTCTGTAAAAAAAAAAGCCCACATGCTAGCTTCTGTGCTCACGAGCGCAACCATGAAGCTATGACTGACTTTACTGAAACTAACAGTCATGTGACAAAGTTCAGGCTGAACTGCAGGCAGTGTCTCCATAGAGCCGATAGGTTTGTATGGAAACAAGTTGTCAAAGTTGTAAAATTTGGGCACTCTCAAAATTTGATTTCAATGAAACAAATAATCAAAGAACCTCAGCCTTTCTTTTTCTTCTTTTTAACGATTTATGGCACTGAAACTGTCTCATACAGCACAGAAGACATATTTGAGTTCCCTCTATGTCTAGTCATGGTTTTGCTGTTTCTATGGAGGTGCAGGACTTTATAATGCAGTAAAAAATGACTCCACAGTGAGTAAAACTGGGAAAGGAGAAAAAAAAAAAAGCTAAAAAATTGCTTGGGGTTCAGAGAGTTTAGTGAGTTAAAACCTCAAAACCAGCGTTGCACCTGTAACATGTTGCAGTCTCACAGTGGTTTGGTGCCAGATTATTTCACGGATGAAATATAACATGTAAATTAGCTCTGGGATGAGCTTTAGAAGTGCTGGTGATTGTACTGCGTTACTGTTTCCCCTGTTTCCATCTTCTATGCTAATCTAAATGAAGCCAACCAGCTGCAGGTCGCAGCGTCATACAACAACCCTCAAGTAAAAGCCCCAGACTGTATAGAAAAGATGTCAACTCTGGGTCTGAAAACTGAAGTCAACACAGAAGCATCTTAAACCTGCATTTGTCTGGCAGCCAGCAGGGGGTGACTTCTTTGGTTGCAAATAGAAGTCAAAATTGAATAGAAGTCTAGCAGAAACCAGCCCTATTGCTTCCTTGAGCTGTTACCTCTTTCAATGTTTTCTTGATGAGTTTATGTTCTCATTTGCTAGTTTTAGGACTTTTTTGAGACAGAATGATTTTAAACTTGTAACTTATGGTCCCATTTAGAGTTAAACAGACGATAAAGCAAGGTATGTTTGAGTCAGCAGGCTTAGCATCATCAAGTTCTCAAACATCCAACCATCCATTATCTGTACACCACTTAATCCTCACTGGGGTCACGGGGGGCTGGAGTCTATCCCAGCTGAGTCAGGGTGAAGGCAGGGGACACCCTGGACAGGTCACCAGTCTATCACAGGGCTACACTTAGAGACAGACAACCAAGCACACTCACATTCACACCTACGGACAATTTAGAATCACCAATTAACCTCAACATGTTTTTGGACTGTGTGGGAGGAAGCCGGAGAACCTGGAGAGAACCCACGCTGCATGGGGAGAACATGCAAACTCCACGCAGAAAGATCCCAGGTGTCCTCACTGGGACGCGAACCGGCGACCTTCTTGCTGCGAGGCAACGGTGCCAACCAACTGCGCCACCCTGCAGCCCATTCTCAAACAGATCAACCTATTGATGGCAGTCAAATTTCAAAATCGAGGCTACAAAACAGCAGCTTGAAAACCTGATGGCTGATGTCTATCTTTTTGTATACAATCTATGGTAATAGCCTGTCAACACTGAAAGATACATGTTAAAAAGACATGACTAAAAAAAGGCATTTCAACAAAGTTTTGTGTTTGTATTTGTATTATTCTACATTTTGGCACAAATATATGATTGCGGTCCCCTTGAAAATTGGCCCTGAACTGACCCTGAAATGTTCTCCTCTAACTCTCAGTAGAAAAATGAATAAGGCTATCTTTTGCCAAAATGTCAACTCAGACATGCAGGCATATATTTGTGGAAAAACAGAGCACCTACACACAGGCGATGCATGAAAACAAAGCTATAACAAGCGGGAAGCATCGGTCCAGACATTAAACCTTATAGATTTGCTATAACATACAAACACATCTGATTATTTATTCTTAGTCTGCAAGCATCGCACTGTCCTGCATTAAAGTACGCATCAGTACAGTAACTGTCCAAACACCTCTAGACATCCTGTTTGTCTCCGGACCCCCTCTCTCTCAGCCTAAACAACTAGTTCCACATGAAGCAGATTGCGGGGTAGAGAGGATAAATGCAACCATGTGTGCATGCAAGTGTATATATGAGCTTGTGTGTGTGTGCATGCGTGTTCATGAGACCGTATGTCTATGTGGTGGTATGTGCATACAACTGCATAGCAATGTGAAAAGAAAAAAGAAAAAAAAGAGACATCTTATGTAGGAGAAAGAAAAAAAAAGTCTTTAAATAATGTGAAAGTCACTCGTGGACATTGTTCAACAACGTCCCACACAACGCAGACAAGCCAGCGGAACACCCACTGTGATCACTGAGACCAAAACTATAGGAGGCTGTTAGTCACAGACGAAAACAGGCCGACACTCTCCGAGCGGCGGTGACACAAAGCCCCGCGTCGGTCGATAAAAATTAAAAACAAAGAAAGCCGCATGGCAAATTAAATTAGCTAAATTGTAAGAGAGTTGACACTCAGAAATGAAGATGAGAGGAAATGGGGTTTTAGAGGAATTCTGTAAATGAAGCGATGAGGTCTCGGCTGTGGGAGGAGAAAGAGGCTCAACAGCAAAATCTGTCAGCGATTACGTACAGAAATACACAAGGGCACAGGTAGATTAACAAAAAGAAGCTGCTGACTCTGTACCATCATCCCCAATAATGAAATCATGCACGGAGATGGACGTGGGCACATTAGAACCAGTGTTTTGTCTCCACGCTGGACCCTCGGAGGCTCACTGACAGACAGCAGATGTGATTTGTGTTTCTTGCAGCTTCACTATTGATCCACTGATTATTGATCTAGTGGTTAATGGGTTTAAAGGTGTGGTACGCACTTTAACACATGCTGTCCATGAATAAATAAAAGACAAATCAGCAGGATTGATGTCATACGAAGCCCAGATGTGCATCCCTTCATTCGTTTTTCAAGGCTGTGTTCGACATGCCTTCGCCTCGCGGAGCATTTGGGCTGCAGGCTGCATGGTTTGTGTGTCTGTGTGTGTATGCATGTGTGTGTGCCCAATCAATGCGAGGATAAAACAAACACATCGGAGAGGAATGAACTCCGGGCTGCAGGACAGAAACTCCCAGATGATTTTTATCTCGGGCCACATCTGGTGAGGTAAAAATAACTCCGACACACATGGCCTTAACCCGATCATCGCAGGAAGGAACAAGTTCACACAGACAACCTTTCATCGTCGCACTTCCTGATTGGCTGAAGGGGCTTTAAAGTTTTTCGAGTGGCAGCATCTGATGGGATTTCCTCGGTCAGAGACAAAACAGTCGGCGTGGAGATGCCGAAATAGATCTGTCTGTTGTCAGGTGAAAGGTTCAAATGTTCTCTCTTTGTTGTGCATCCTGTCTTGCATATGTGCATCATTTTCTCTGTCTTTATGTGACGGTTTCAACATACCATTGTATCCATCCTGGTTGACGTCTCCTAGGGGTGCGATAGCTGTGCCGAAGCGTCCGAAGGTGTGGGTGCCGGTCAGAGGAACAGGTTGGGAAAAAGTGAGCGGAGCCAGCTGCAGGTACAGGTAGACCCTCCCGACCTCCCTGGGTTTACTCTCCATCTCCCTCTCCATGAAAAGCGGCGCACCAACCAGAACATCGTCCGTCCTGAGGAGACATGGTGGAGGTTCAGTTATAAAAAAAACAAAACAGAAAGAGATACAGGAGGTGCAACCAGGGAGGCTCTCTACTCACCCGTCTCCGTTCAAATCAGTGACAGCCACCGAGTAGCCAAAATAGGAAGCCATCTGAAGGGCAGAGACGTTACAAAATTAAACCATCCATCTCCATCCAAACTCAGCTGATTCCAAAATGTAAGAAAATCCAGCTGTTGCTTGTTGTTTAGTACTCTCAGAAAAATACTGGTAATCAACTTTAGAAGGCTCTTTGGTTCTTCAAAGCACCAACACCAGACGGGGTTAATTGCTAGGAGACCAATTGTCTTTATGTGGTTCTTTAAAATACTAAAGGTTCTTTGTTTTTACTGGAGTCATCTGGTGGCAGCATGAAATAAGAGCTGCAACTAAAGATTGTTTTAAATATTATCAATTATTTGACCAACAATCCAGAACCCTAATATTAGATGATGGAAAGGACCCAGAAATGCTGCAAAAGTTATTTATAATCAGTGTCTACTTGAACAATTCACATATTGGCGATTAAAACCCTTTAAAAAATATACAAAATACTACTTTATCTGACCATAACACATATTAGGGCTGAGATCCAGCAGTGCTATTAATTATACAGATTAGTCTAAGTAATGGAAATATAAACACAAGCAACAATAATTACTGGGATTAACCTGACTAATTTTGAACAGAAGTTGTGATCCTACAAAAATAAACATGAAAACCCAGCAGATCCTGGATCCCCTGTGAGCAAGCCTTGGTTTTATTTATTTACTTATTTACTGTGCCTGAAGGAAGCGTTTTTCAGGGCACTATCTTCAAAGAACTATTTGCAGGAATGGTTCCCTCCTGAGCGCGGTTTATGTACGAGTGTGATGGGATGTGCTGATGCTCCTACCTGCTCCCCTGTGAAGTTCTGGATGAAGGTCAGATTGGTGGAGTTGATCATCGCCACCTAAAACAAGCAGACAGACTGTCAGACAGCTAATAAAGAACCAGACTTTGTCCTTGTAGTGCACCAGGAGTAAACATGGCCAAGCAGTCTGACAAACAGACACATGAAGAATGTAAGAAAATAGTCAGAAACCGCATTAGAAAAAAAAAAAAAGCCTTTATTCAACTGAAACCCCTTTTTCTTTTCCCTGCCCTCCCCCACCATCACCACCACCACCGCCACCCTCTTTGTGCCTTTACCATTTTCCCCTCATCTTTCTCTCCTTCCCCCCGTTCTAACCCCTGGTTTGCAGGCAGAGACGGAGGGGGGAGGCTGAGAATTCCTTCATAAGACCTAAAATAACAACCACATGGAGACAGCCGGGGGCTACACACATGAGCGGGAGGATACACGCTGACCCAATCACAGATGTCTCAAAGTCGAACTAAAGAGGGATAGACTTACGAACGCAGACAGATGAGGATGTGTAAACACAAATATTGAATCAATAGCTCGAGAGTTAACTTTCCTTTGCGCTCAGTTGTCAGATTGGTCACAGAGGAAACCTGATCGGGCCTGACAACTACTCCAGTGCCCGTATCCCTCATAACGCTCCACCTACTGCGAGCTACAACCCCCTCCTCTGGGGCACTTGCAGTGCACTGTCTGTACAGGAAAGGACATCCTCATACCAGCTACAACATCCAGACACTGTCGCGGTGTGTGCTAATGTGTGTGCGTAGCGTGGTGAGTCCTGTGGTTAAACAGCAGGTTAGAGTTCGGGGTTGTGTATGTGTGGAGTAGGGTTAGCGGGGTTAGGTGGGGTCACCGTCCTCCACATGCAGCGGAAGCCATGTGTCATTAGGGAGGATTGACACAGTCGGCCCTGGGGACAAGTTCCCATCAGCGGACACGAGATAGACCCGAGTTTACACGTAGCACATACAGTGTTCTCGCTAGGGTGCTACGATTCAAAGAAGTGTGATTTTTCCTAGCAGATGGCGCGATTGGATTTGCTTCAGTTCAATATTAATCGTGTAATAAGATTCGGACATGTGATGGAGCATCACCACATGAGATATCATCAAAAAGTGTGACTGTCACACAAGCAGGATGGCGTGAGTTTGTCGATTCTAAAGTGTAGCCTTTATTATTTGCCAATGGCGCTGTTTCAAATCGATTAATTGTTCTGCCCTTATATTAATGTGTGCTGGAAAGGCTGTAATTCTGTATGAAACACTGAAAACAGACGATGATGAAAGACTGTAAAATCTATACACACATCCACCTTGACAAGAAATGTTACACGTACACCACATACAGACAGGGGAGAAAATAAAATAAAAACCAATATAAAATGTCTTCTTAGGTTTCTGAGCCCCTTCGAATACCTAAAATAGTTGGCTGCAAGTCATTGGCATGCTATTTGGTCTATAAACATCATTATTTCCTTATATGGCATTTGGTGATGATGATGGATAGAGTCAGTGATGATATAAGGTAGAGACACACCACCAAAGGAGTCCTGAATTGAAATCTATGACAGAATTCCTAAACAAGGCAGTTGTATGTCACATAATCCACTTAATAAAACCAATAATCTGCTTTGTAGCAGCTGAACTGGACACTGGAAGTTCTACTGGAGCTGAACAGCCAACTAATCTTGTTGGTGTATGATGTATTTCATTTTATCAGATAAACTAGTGATTATATACATGCAGCTTTTATATTGCTGTGGCAGATTTCTACTTAAGGCTGTCTTCCCATTCTATATGTAGAAGTCTGGTCTTGTTAGTCTGAAACTGACAGACTTGCTCTAGAGGGACTTTGACAGCGTCCAGTCTTGCCTTGCCAGAACTGTCTTCACAGCGCCGGACAATGGTATGGTAACATCTCATTATTATTCTACTATAGGGGAAGCTTTTTGGATTGGTCGTATTTCTTTAAACCAATCATAATCATCTTGGGAAGAGATAAGCGAAGGATGCAGCGATGATGTCCCTGCAAAATAGTGACGGGGGAATTCATTTGGTGGAACATTTACATGCAAGGAGGAGATCACTGTTCTTGAAATCGCTAAAAAGGCCTGCGATATTGCATGAGCTTCATCAAAATGTACTTTTTTAGGTTGCTGTTCCTTGGAGCGAAGGGAATTTTGGAAACAGTGGCGTGGAAATAGCAAAAGAGGAGGAGAAAGCTGCAATGTAAGTGGCAGACTTATACCCTCCGTCTGCATCTGGAGAGTCAGAATAGATAGCGTCCAACATGTCAGTTCAAAAATCATCCAATAGGTGTTCGGTTGGTTTCATCGTCATTGTCCTCATCATTAAACCATTTTATTCATGCACTGTATGAAAGCATCTACATTTGCTGTGCTTTTTCCACTTATTTTTTTAATTTTTTTTCTTTAATTTGTCTCCCATTTGTTGCTGTTAATGTGTAAAAAGAAAAAAAAAAAAGTTTATCGTTGTGTAATCTGTTCATACTCACATATCCAAAGTTCTGAGCTCCTCTTGGAACTCCAGCTATCAGCTCTGGGGAACACGGAAACAAAGAAAGACCCCAATTAGCGTGAGAAAAAACGTACAGAGGAAGAAAGGGTTCAACATAAGTTAGTCTCAAACCCCCTACCCAGCCCACAGCTAAGTGTTGCTGAGAACGCAGTGAGTGATTGGATGCTCAGACTCGCGAGACTATTGATTGATGAGTGCGGCGCTGTGAACTTATAGGGGACGATCTGAGGGTCCCACCCAGAGAGAGAGGAGACAGACTCCTCGCTTCCTGCCCTCGGGCTCTACCCGACAGGCTCAACCACGAGCCTATAAACCAGCAGTTCCCATCTCCGTCTTTACTCAGAACTCCCAGTTAAAACCAGTTCTCCAGTACGAAGAGGTTTTAGGGGAACAAGACCACAACAAGCTTCGTACCACAACACAGCACATCAACGGGCATGTGCATCCTCTTTAGGTTCACTTCTCTGACATGTGTTGTGCCTGAGGCGGTTCAAGGCCTTTGCCGGGTTGGTATGGGGGTCTGTAAACACAAGGTCGTCCCATAAAGATCCCACTAAATGGTGATTAGTTAAGTGACATTGTGGAAGGGGGGGATGTGTCACGCTGTATGTGACGCTGTTTGAAGAGGAAGCAAAGAAACCGGTTTGAAGAATAATGTGGAAAGACTGAGGCTGAACACATCTGAACCCCAAAACCAACTTTCCGATGATCCTTGAACTAATCATCTGGGAGACACAGTTTACAACCAATTTAAATTTGTGACATTTAATCAAAATGGGTTTGTGTCACTTCATGTTTGTCTCATTTAAAAGTTCACCAAAAATAAATTGTTTGCTCTGAGCAGATTCTGTAAAATAATAATAATAATAATAATAAAAGTTGGATTCCTTGGCAAAACTGGGAAGGCGTTAGTGACACTTTTGGCTGAACTGCAGGCCGTGTTTACACAAAGTAAAATAGGAGATGAGTATGGAAACAAATTCAAAATGTAATAGTGAGTGAAATATCTTTACTGTGTTGAGTCATCATTTGTATTTGTAACAGTTGTGGACACTTGGAAAAAAATCTTGTTCATGTTGATTCCAGATTTTTTTCTACGGAAGCCGAGCGCGGTCGTTTTCCACTACTGTTCTTTCTTCGCCGTTTTCTCGAGATAACGAGTTAATTTTCTCGTTATCTCGGGAAAACAAGAATCGTTTTCTCGAGAAAACGAGATAATTGGTGTTTTTGTTTGCCCGCTCGTGCCCAGTCCAGGATGGAATCCCAGGTGTGTGGGACCCACCAGCGGGGGGCCGGAGGACAGACGAGACCGGGCACGAGCGCTTCATTGCAAGTTGTCGTGCCCGGTCAGCTGTTCTCATGACACTTCATGTCGGAGTTCCCGGTCAGCTGTCTATATAAGATACGTCACACCAGGAAGTCCGACAACTTCTGATGAAGGCTGAAGTGACAACCGAAACTGTCAACGGGATAATTATCTCGGGAAAACGGCGTTTAAAAAAATGTGCGGCCATGACCGCTCTCGGCTTCCGTATTTTTCAATTTTTGTAAAGTAAATAATCGCACAAATTCAACTTTCGTCTTTTTGATTTTCAGGATTTATGGCGTTGTAACTGCGCAGCAGACATGTCTGAGTTCTCTCTACCTCTAGTTACGGTTGTGCTGTTTCACTGAGGGTTCAATGCTTTATTTTTGCAGTGAAAAACGAGTTTAGATTTACTAAAAAAAAAGAGACAGAAGTAAAATAAAACCCACCTAGTTTGGGGTTAAGAGGGTTAATGAAAAAGCGCCACTTTTGGTCAAAAATCAGTTGTGTGTTTTATTTGTACTGTTAAAAAAGTGATGACATGGGAATGCAAAAAAATGTAAATGCTATACTGCTGGTGAGTGACCAGAGTCGGAAAAAATAAATAATTTGTACATTTCTACAAATCAAAACCTTTATGAATTTATATTGGCCTAAACGTGAACTCAAAGGATCTCTTCAGCACCTGCACGTCCTCTATAACACAATGCTGTGTGCGCCTGCTTCTCTTTACACCTCATATCTCAAGCTCAGATGAGATTCTGGATCCACTCTAGACCCGAAGAGCTTTGGCGAGTCTGCCAGTAATCATTGTAATCAGTAAGAGTGGACGACAGGAAATCTCTTTATCAGGGCTTCCTGAAGTCCTGTCCCTTCGGGGTCGTGACCCAGACATGCAGAGACTGTTCTCATTACTGCTTCAGAGTTCAGACACCGACACTGTCACCCAGCTGTCCACCGCCTATCGCTCAGCGTATCGCACACCTCTCCAGCCTCGCGGAGAGCTTTTGGATCGGCTGCTGATGTTGTTGGTTAGGGATTCCTCTGCTGCTGCATGCGGTTAGTCGTAATGAATTGTTGGCTTTCTCACCTTGTTCAGAGTCTCCTGTAAACTCTCCCACTGCCACAGAGTAACCTAGGGAGAAATGAGTTGCACATGACGACATGCGGTTTAGATTCAGATGCCTACGCTGCATGTTTTACGTAATGATTCTAATTAGATTATGATAACGAGGATGATTGTTGCTTAGGTTTGTGCATACGTTTATGTGTGTGTGCGCTCGAAAAATAATGCTTCTTAGATGTTTCTTCAGAAAGCTCTCTGGTTCTTTAAAGCACAATCTTTTTATTTAGTTGATAGCTCTCTACTTTTGTTGGAGGAATTTGGTTTGGTGGCAGATAATTACGAAAAATTAAAGCTGCAACCAATGATTATTTTCAATCTAGATTAACCATTTGCTCTATAAAACATCAGAAAACATTAAAAATGAGCATCACAGTGTCTCAAATCCCAAGTTGGCATCTTGTAGCAGATCTGTCTAACCGAAAAAACCCACGATATGAAACATATTATCATGGAAAGGACCCAGAAATTATGCACAAGCCTACATTTGATGTTTTTTTTGCTAAAAAAAAAAATCACTTTTTAAGTTGGCACTCGTGTATATTTCAGAACTTTTCTGCCCCTATTTAGCTCTTCCACCGATCGATGCTCGAGAGATCGAGATTTTGCCGTTGCAGCTTGAAAACTTCAACTTTAAATCAAATGTTGCTCCTCCACTGTTGCTTTTAAGTAAAAACTTAAGCCGCACATGTTCTCAATAGCTTCACAATTACCTTTTTTGCTGCTATGTTGCTATTCTTTTTTGTCTATTTGGGCTTTTAACGTTAGTTTATTTCGTTTTTCTAGCTGATTTCACAAGTTTTAAATCGTCTAGATGTTTACATATAATATTTTGTGCAGCAATATGGTCATCTCTGTTTGTTGTTAAGTGGGAGCTTTATCAATAAATTTGATTTGATTTGAAGTCATGTTATTAAAATAGAAAAAAGACAAAAACATCCATTAAAAATGTGCTAAACTTCTTTGGAGGTGGTGTTTATGGTGTCTATCTTTTGATGGTTTTTTGGAGGAACAATGGGGCCTCTGTTAAGAATCTCTTGATAAAAGGTTCTCTGTGAAATTAAAAATAGTTCTTCCGTGGCATAACTGCAGAGTGCAAATGTTGGTTCTGGTTTGCGCCTTTATTTTGTGTGTGTGTGTTTGTAAATGCGTGTTACCGAGGTAGCTGTCGTCGTGCGTGTCTTCGGCAGCTCTGGTGTGCTTCTCGCCTGGAACCTGCCTCAGCACCGCCTTTAAAGAGTAGCCATTCAGTATCTCTGCTATCCCTGCTGTCATCACCTGACCTGCACACGCACAGATAGACGGACAGAGAAAAACAAGTCACATCCGTTTATGGACAGCGGTTACAGCCCTACAACCCCCCCCCCTCCGTGAAGGCATCTCGACGCTGCCGCCTGCAATAGATATCAGCTGGAGCTCCACATGAAAGCTGTAAGCCTTCCCAGAGGAGAGCTTAAACACATCGTTGGCAGAGGAATAACTGACAAAATGTTCCTTTAAAAAAAAAAAAAAAAAACCCTCAAGAAAACTCCAGGCGCAGCGAGGGTTCTGAATTATAGGTGTGCGCACACAAACAACACCCTTCCTCTGCTGTTGAACAAGAGGTCAAACAAACAAATGATTTTATCTATGGCTGCCCTCAACCTTCCATAAATCCTGCTTAATGTGTGTGTGTGTGTGTGTGTGTGTGTGTGTGTGTGGACTGACGGGGAGGAAAATGTGCCCTCCCAACCCTCCTTGCAGCTCCTCTCCCTCCCTCCCTCTCAGAGTTTATCTCCCACAGTAACATATCAAGTCATTATTAAACCTCTATCTGATTAATGAGACACACTGTTAACACAGATGCATAAGTCACTGCTGCTAATTTGAGCAGTAATTTACACTCAACGATAACAAGATTGTGTACAGAGGAGGAGTTTTTTTTTCTTCTCTTTCTTATGATGAATCAGGCTGAAGGCTGAAGATAATTGTTGTATATTAGAGGCCATAAAAAATCCAGGCTGAGTGCTTTTATAAACATTTGGAGGAAGTGTTTTAACTGGAGGCAGCCTGCCTTGCCACGCTGAGGGCACAGAGAGGGAGCAGTCCATTAGGCTGCCTCTGATGCTTGTCTAATGCTGCAGCATTCATTATTCAGCCACATGTAACAAAGGCATCAGTGCAAAACAATATAAAATCATTAAAAAAAAAAGTATTGCAGTTTTAGATATCCATCTCACATTTCCTTATTTCTTACTCTAACTTTCTTTTCTGAGCAACTTGTACTGAACAAAAACACACATGCAGCATACAAATGGTTTTCTTTTCTGACTTAAAGAAGTCCCATTTCTATTGTTATAGTTGGAAAAGTATTAATTTAACTAATTGTACATAAAAAGTTTTTGGAGCTTTTTAACAAATTCTTTAACTCTGAGTTAATCCACAGGCCAGTCAGGTGTGGCTTCAAAGGCTATGATCAGATAGTAACCAGTGCACACTATAAAAGACCACCTTAAATGCAGCTTCATTCAAATGACACCACAGATGACAAGAGAAAAGATGAGAATGAGCTGCTGACATGTTGCATGCTGGCATGTCAGTTAGGGCCATTTACAGGCACTTGAATATCGACGACTTTACCTTATGTTGTCTAAGAAGTTGTTTCAGACAGCATGATGTGACAGATAGTCTGCTGCATGACCAAAACCAGTTCGTCACCAGCCTAAAACCAGCCTAAAACCAGCCTTGAACTATCCAAAACAAGCCTTAAACCTGCCCCACACCAGCCTCAAACCAGCCCAAAGCATCCTAAAACCAGCCTGAAACCATTCTAAGACATTCCTAAAACCAGTCCAAAATCACAGTCTTAAACTGTCCAAAAAAACCCAGTGTAAAATCAGCTTTAAACCAGTCTAAAACTGTCCTAAAACCAGCTTAAATCCATTCTTAAACTAGACTCAAACCAATCCAAAAACGTGCTAAAACCAGCCTCAAATTAGCCCCCAAACAGCCTTAAACTGCCCTAAAACCAGCCTCAAACCAATCCAAAAACAGCATTAAACTGCCCTAAAACCAATCTAAAACCAGCTTTAAACCAGTCTAAAACTGTCCTAAAACCAGCTTAAATCCATTCTTAAACTAGACTCAAACCAATCCAAAAATGTGCTAAAACCAGCCTCAAATTAGCCCCCAAACAGCCTTAAACTGCCCTAAAACCAGCCAAAAACCAGTCCAAGAAAGTCCTAAAACCAGTCTCAGACAAGCCTAAAACCAGTCCAAAAACATCATTAGACCAGTCTAAAAACTACAACTAACCTAAAACCAGTTCAAAATGAGCATAAAACCAGTCCAACACCAATCCATAAAGCTCACCACATAAACCCAGGATCACCACATCAGGCTCATTCATCTGTAAAACCGCCTGTGATCGGCTGCAGAGACTGAAGCTGCTGGTTTGTCGTGACCAGAGAATATCTGCTGTAACTGTGAGGAATCGCCTGCTTTGCGTCTCGTCGCTTTGATGTAACAGTGATGGTAAATGATGAATGGTCTCCACTTATATAATGCCTTTCTACATGGTGATAGCAGGTGAAGTGTTCCAGGCCACTGCAGACCCTCCAGACCTGACCGTGGACGTCCAACAACGTGAACCTGTCCCCTGAACCGTCTTCACCGAGCTCTGGGACGACATTCCACAAGCAGCATCAACAACTTTATGAACTCTGCAGATGTGTAACCCCAGAGTCACCCCGCTCTCCGCTCCATTATCACTTCCAATATAGCTGGTTGTTTAATGACGTCCGCTCTGCTGTAGAGATTCAAACAGCAAACATTTTTTCCCTTATGTTATAAAGAATGGAGAGAATTGAATCACGTAGGACACGCTGCTTTTACATTGTTGTTCGGCATACATGCTGCAGCAGACTCACAGATCAGGGGTCACAAAGAAAGAGATCCGTAACTGTCTCCTCAAACAGCTGCATCACTTCTCTAAATTCAGATTGCACGGAGACACTCTCGGACACCTGGAGTCGGGGGAGTAGTGCTACACTTCAACAGCTTCGCCGTGACACGCTCTAGCTGTGTCTGCACCTATTAAGACACTTCATCCCTCTGCTTAGTCTAACCCTAACATCTAGAGAGCGGGCTGACCTCAGCGCCGCTTTCATCGAGCAGGAGATCCATCATTCTGCTTCCCCGGGTGTCCGACATACTCCCTCACTTCTCATCTTTCTCCCTCCCTCCCGATGATGCAACGTGTTTCTATCATCTCCATGGCGATCCGTGCTGCTCTCAGTCCTCTCCTTTGTCCCACTCGACTCGGCCCTCGGGCTCCTTGCAGCGTTTCCTTCTGTGCTGTATCACGGGGCAGAGGGGCAGTTCCTCCACACTCCATTACCCCCCGATCAGCTCATTATAGAGCCCAAACACCCACTTCCTGCTGCACTGTTACAGACACAGAGGGGCATTAAGCGAAGGAGCAAAGGGAGGGAAAACTGAGGCGGAGAAAGTAGACACATTTTGTTCTCTTTTGGTTGGACTCCTGTAATGAAGATCTGGAAAGTGTGTCGCATGTGTCTATGGGGGCCGTCCTGCCTGTTAAACCCATCTTTACTCTTTTCCATCATTTGAGCCCCTTCCCATTTATGAAATCATTACAGCAGAGAGACCAAACAGAGGTTTACCTTGCCAGTAGAAGCTTCCAGGTCCTCCTACTACCAGCCGTCCTTCCTGGAATAAACACAGTCAGTTGAGGGTTAGTCATGTGGCAGAAATTTGTCAATTTGTGCACGTGGATGTTGTAGAGGGGGTACATAATGTGTGTAGCTAAACGAGCGTGCACATATGATCCCTGCTGTCATGCCTGTTGACATCCTGCAGTGAAAGACAGCTTCCTGTACAGGAGGGTAGAGTTGGACCATGAGACAGAGGTCAGGGTTCATATTGACTATACAGTGAAAGAATGTGTATGTTTTTGGTCTATTGTGTTAAGAGGCGACGGGTCACGTCGGGTGTGGAGGCTTCTCCTTTGGGACAAAACACTCTCTCAACTTCCAAGTGTCCATAAATCTCCGTGAGGGGAGTCAAAGACAAATGAGGTTGTCCCTGCAGTAACTCGTGATTGTGTCGTCTTTACCTTAGTGAAGTCCACACTGAAGCCGGCCTGGCAGAACCCCTGCCCCTCCGGGTCCGGATCGTCTGGAAACAACACAAGCAGATTGAAATACGGCTTTTAAAAATCCGAAGCAGCATCGTAACCATCGGAACCTTGAGGAGGTTTTTGTTAATTTTTTACCGCAACTTCTATGGACTTCTTTGGAGAATTAAAACATGTCTTCTGTGCAGCATGATACAAATATTATACCATAAATCATCAAAAACAGAATAAAATTTGATTATTTGCATTACAAAAAAATGGGGGAAAAAAAAGAGGAAACAACACGTGCAACCTTTTTTCTTCACAGGTGTTACCAATACTGGGAAAAAAATCAGGGCTCTTCCGACCGTAGATATTTTACTGCTTACATTTTTACAACCCTTGACAAACCAGGTATTTTTCCTCACACATCAACTCTAGAAAGATGTTTCACCATGCTGACTGTATCTTCCAACAACCTGCTCCTCTGTTTACTGTTTTTAAGCCATGCTGCATTTATTTTATGGATCAAATAGGTTTTGTTTTCCTTCCAGTCTCTGCTATGTGAGGCCTGCAGTTCATCCAAAAAAAAGCCCCTGACTTTTTGTTGCATGATTGCTGATCACAGGTGATTCACTCATAACTTCTCAGCTGCACCGAGGAGCACAGAATTTTAAATTTTTTTTTGCAGAATGTGGTGCAAATGGTAAATATTTTTAGCTAATTTAAGAATCAAGCATACAAAATAGAGTGTTTTTTGATAAAATATCACAATTTTAAGCTTAGGTTTGGCTCAGTTACCAAGGGAACCGCAGGATTCAAATCCGAAAATTCTTTTTCTTTCTTTTTTTTTTTTTTCTACAGTTTGCGGGTGATAATTTTTTATTTTTCAAACCCACCACCAGGCTGTGATGAGGAACTTCCCTGCTTTGACACAAACCCTTTTACCAGGTCATGGAGATTAATATTCCATATGTGAAAAGAAACTTCGTAAGCCTTTTGGGAGCAGCGGAAATCTGAGAAATCGCCTCAAATGATGTCACTTGAATCAGCGTAACAAATAAAGCTTAACAGGAATAAAATCTGTTGTTGGGATTTCGAAAGAAGTGAGCTTTGCCAGTCCTCCACATCTCGCTCCTTATCGCCGCTTCAGGCTACATTTACCACCACCACTGCCATAACATACTCGAACCCCTGAGGTGCATTGTGGGTAATGTAGGTGGCAAGTTTAGACAAGAATGTATGGAATATAAAAAGAAACAGAACAGACAGATGGGAAAAAAGACTGGATTAAATCGTTTAACTACAAGAAACCCCTATAAAGCCCATGAAAATTAAGAAGCACTTACATAAAAACCAAGACTTACTGAGGTGTGTTTCTGTTTAAATTACTTCATCCAACTGGGCACAAACACACAAAACTTATGTGCACAGTATAAATTGTTCTCCATTCCAGTGGCACCCTGAGGTGAAGCTTAATGATGCGTAACTACACAACTGCACATATAAACAATAAGTGAGTTATGGCCGTCTGAGCGGTCACAGATTCACGTCGAGATGGAGCGAAAGAGCCGCCGGAGGCACGAAACATCGGACCGAAACGCATGATACTGAAAAAAAACTTCCCCTGCACTGAGAACAGAGTTATCCCCCCCTCGAGAACAGTTGACTTTACAATGTGATTATTCTCGTCTTGATTACTCAGCACTGACATAAACAACAAAACAGAGATCTTTAACAGCTCCGAAGCAATTACTGGAGGGAGTGTAAGTACAAATGTGTGCTTATATACGTGGGAGACACGATGGAGCGAACAGCAAGGGCTGCGCTTTATCTGCTGTTTACGATGTGCCACCTGATAGCCTTCATTTCTCCTTATCGCGCTCTGCTGCCGCCTCATATCTCTGCACAGGGCGAGAGGGGTCGCAGGAAGAAAGTGGAGGAGAAAGAAAAAAAAAAGCTGGAAATGTGAGGTGGGGATGGGAGGCTTCCCATAAATCCCATTTACACAACCGATGACAGAAAGAAGAGGACCAGAGAGAGAGAGAGAGAGAGACTGGCTTTTTTCAGGTTACTGTGGCAACTTGTAAAACATCAGGAAAGTCCATCTATTGAGGAAGCTCACCTTCTCCTGCTCGTATCTGGCCATGCAGGCAGTATTAGTGTTATTTTTTCCAGGTTTTCAGATATCTCTCTTTGAGATTTTTTTGCCTGTAACTCACTCAACTTAAAACCAAGTTGGTCGCAGGTTTCATGGACAAGTTCTTGGTAGAAACTAGCTTTGGCAAAAACAGCAGATCATCACTGCTGTGAACAACACAGATTAAATTTAACGGAGGTGGACGTTTAAAGCAATCTGGCCAAATAAAGCTATCCCCATGTGTAATGATACCCGTAAAGTTAAGTAAGGAAATGGATTTGAGGCTAACACTGAGCACATTATTTAAAGACCTGATTGGTAGAAATTAGCTTTGGTTTTTCCTTATTAATATGTCCATATGGTGGATTGTCAATGCCATGGCTGAGCATCTTGAAACTGCAGATCTCAAAAACACAGATTTTGACTTGCAGTGTTTCATATGTAGTGAACCTAAAGACCCAATCCTGTCAACTTATCAGGTGTGACTTTTTGTATCTTCTTCAGAATCAGTTTCCAGTTCAAACAAGTTTGACTGAGTTTCTCCGATATTACAGCTTGCCATTGTGTACAACAGTGTTTGAGCAGAGTTGAAGGTGAGCTGGTATGCTTGAACTGCAACGAGTGGTGGATGGTTGTGGAGACAGAGGTGAAGATTTTTAACATATCTGCACATTATGGAGGAAGCAACCGTACAGAGCTACATCTAAGCCATTTTATCCATCTAAACGATTCAGGGTGTTTTTGCTCCTGTCACATTTTTACTCACTGTGGGATCATGTTTCACTCTTTTTTTCCCCAAGTCCTGCACCTCTATGGGAACTACACAATGATGTCTAGAATGAGGAGGAACTCAGAAATGTCCTTTGTGCTGTGCAATGAAGTTATATTGCCATAAATTGTTAAAAAAAATAGGGGGAAAAAAACAAAAAGTTGAATTTCTTTGACAAGTTAATTAAAGAAAAAACACATTTCCCCGTGTGCCCACAGGTGTTACCAATCCTGGCTCCACACACATACTGTAGATATTTTACTATTAACAATTTAAAAACCTCTACAAACTGCTCTGCTCTTCAGCTTTGAAAAAGATGTTTCACCATGCTGAATGTATCTTCCAACGACTTGCTCCTCTGTACGCCATTTTTGAGCCATGCTGCATTTCTTTTAGTTACCAAATATGTTTTTTTTTTGCCCCTTTCAGTCTCTGCAATTTGTTCCTACACTTGTCTCCGTTCTGCTACGTATAAACACAGCCTGTGGTTCAGCCGAAAAGTCCCTGATTGTTTGTCACATGTCTGCCGGACGCAGCTGAGTCACTCGTTGCTTCTCGGTTGCGCCAATTAGCCTAGAATTTTTTGCTTTTGACAGAATCTGGTGCAAACGTTGTTTTTTTTTTTATTTTAAAAGAGATAACACATGTAGAATAAGACGATTTTGATGGAATATCATGATGTTAAAGCTTGTTTTTGGTCATTTTTTCCCTGTTTCAACCACACAAACGTCTATTTCAATGGCTGACGGGACGTTGACAATCAAATTTTTATTTTTGTTCTTGGTTTCTGGTTCTGATAAATGGTGTAATTTCGCTGACTTTTTGAGATCACATGCCTCTCAAACCTGGTGGCAGGCTTTGGGTTCAGACAGGAAGGGATTATTTTCATGGAAAAAACTTCTAAATGTGTTATTTCAATACACCGTGATGAGTTTTTAGGAGTTTAATCAATGCCAGGAGAGGAACTATGTTATATTATGCTGTCTGACACTGATGGAAATTGTTTTAGGACACAAAAACATCTCAAAACTGTGGTTAATTTGTGTTCATACTGACAGCGGAGAGAGAAAACAAAGGGAGGGAGGGTGGAAGTGACTCACTGGTCCTGCAGGGTGAGTACTCTGCGTAGGCGCTGAAGTTCTGGACGGCAACATAGCAGGTCCCGACGGGGTCCTTTTCCCCGCTCACCTTCACCGTCCGCCAGTGGTAGAGCGGAGCACAAGCCTGCATGACAAATAAACACTCATTGTAAAGCTTCAAAAAAAAGAAGGGACAAATATGTGTGCAATAAATGTTCAGATATGTTTTGACATTACGTCCACTCACCACCACTTTGCCTTTGTGCGTCCTGACCGACGCTCCAAACCACTGGTGCGACTTAAACTCCAGAGGCTCTCTGGTGCCATTTACTTTAATCATTCTGTTATCTGGAGGAAGAAGGAAGGGAATGAGGGGAAGTGGAAAAGACATAAAAAAAAACAACAACAGAGAATTGAAGAGATTTTATAACGGTGGCAGTAAAAGCCGATATTGACCACGGTAATGTGGATCCAGGCTCGGAAAAGTGTTTGTCCTTGATGAGCAAGAACAAACAGCAACGTCTTAAACAGGCCTGTAACACACATCAAAACACCATTTGCCCCCCAGATACAGACATTTGTCAGGGTATGGAGAGTTGTTTTGTTTTTTTCTCCAGTCAAAGCTGTACCCATAAAAAGTTAAGAGACTCTAACTGAGCCTCCACACACACACACACACAGACACACACACACACACACACACATACACAAGCATTAATAGCATTTCTTAGTGGAATCACAATAATGTGTCAGATTTGGTGTGATGCTGTGTGTGTGCGTGTTTGTCTTTATTCTGGTGAAGATATTTTCCAGTGTTATTAAAACCCAGCTGGGACTCTTTAGAGCTGTGCAGACCCCTCCTCATTAAACACCTCCCTTTAGCACATGCACACACTCACACAGACAGACTAAAATTACGGGAATACAGTGGATGCAGACCAGCAGGTGTACAATACATGTTTAATGTTATTCGTCTTTGGTCTTTATTAGTGCTTTATTCTCTGCGGGGGATCAGGGAACACATTGATTCGTATTGTCCATCTGTTTCTGAACACATTACGGGTAGAAGGCCAAATTTCAGTTTGTATATATCAGATTTTTACACAAAGGATTCTAATATCTAATAAAAACTCTACCTAAATCCATCACTAACATTTATTTTCATTTTTCTAATCCCAGCACAACTTGTGAAATAATAAATGAGGGTATCGAGTGAGAAAAACGTAACACACACTCGAAGTTTAGATATCTGTATATTCACTCAGAAATTACCTTGCGGATAGAATCCAGTGTGTGCACGCAGATAAACACATGATGAGCTTTATGGAGATCGCTAAGAGAGGCTCAGATTCAGCCTTGGTTCTCTTTTCTATTTTTGAAAATTCTGTTCAGAAGGGCCTTGCCTACAGCTAAGGTGCATCTTTACGCAGATGACACAGTGGTTTATTCAGCAGCTGTTAATAGGCTCCAGGCGGTTTTTCAGAAAGTGTAGACCTTGTTGCATAAAGTTGGTTTGGAATATGAATCAATGTGTTATCTTTTCCAGAGCTTGCTCCCAGGTCTCACATTCTGCAGCATTTCTGCTTGAAGTGGGGACTTAACGAAACAAATATCTTCCTACAAGCACATGGGTATCTGGTTGGAGGATAGGTTCTACTTTAGAGTGCATTTTGAGCAGCGATAGTAAAAAAAACTGAGGTTTATTATCGAAATAGGGTCTGAGTTTGTTTAGCAGTCAGGAAAACACTCATATATACCTTGATTTTAAGTATTTCAGGCTACGGGGACATATATTAGCTGCCATTCGTTAGCTGTTTATGTTTTATATCCGACTCACTGTCCAGTACCTATCCTTGTGTACTTTATGATCCAGTTTCTTGGCCTCTGTTAAGGCTAAGCCGACAGCACTGCTAGTATATTATTACTTTGCTAAACAATACTGCAAAAAGTCCCTTCCTACTTGTGTAATTTTGTGTTTCTCGCTCATCTAAATGTGCCAAAGATCTGCTCTCACCTTGACAGAACGTCTTTGTCCTACAGCTTCACTACAGTGTAATGATTTTGCCTCCTCAGAAGTGTTCAAAGTTCTGATTGAAAGATGTGTAACTGTTCCCTAAAATGGACTTTGTTTTGTGTATCTTCAGTCTTCTGGTTGTTTTAATGTGCTTTGTTCCATGTCTGTTGTTGTCGTGCTTGATTTTATATTTTAACTTTATAATGGAGCGCCTACTTGGCTAGGTCTCCCTCAAAAAAGATTTGAATCTCCAGAGACTTCCTGGTTAAATAAAGCCTAAATAAATAAAAACGACAAAAGATACTTTGAGGGAGCAGAGGCTTCATTTTACGATAAGGCTTAAGGATGTGTGGTGGTTGTTTTGATTGTGAACCTTACTGGAAAACAGCGAACATCATTTTTTCTTCAGAAATAAAACAGAACAAATAATTTGCAGTAATTCTGAGTCATGCATACATCATCTCCTAGCAAAATGAAAAGCAATACATCACTAATGACACCAAACCAGCGCAGTATTCTGATTCACTTGCCAGATTTCTCCACTCACAGCTCGGACATGCAATCTATCACCAATCTGTGATAACACGCCGCCCCCCCTCTCCCATCCCCCTTGCTTCATTGGCATGACGCATCTGCAAAATGTCACTGGAGCCATGCTCTCACACAGGCACATAATCAGGCACATGTGAAGCTGATGTATGGACATTAACCAGCACAGTACGCACACATGGTCACCACTCGTGCAGATATTTTACCCAGTGTGCACGAGGGGTGTGTGTAGTCTGGTTTCTACCTGTAAAAAAAAAAAGTGGATGTGATGTAACTCGAGAAATATCCACCGTGGCTTCTGTCATCAATCACCTTATGGACCCATTGAAGTGAATCGATGCACATGTGACTTCATGCAGATATTTGTTCCACTGTTCTTTTATCCCCAAAACACACTAAAAAAAAAACAGCCCCATTGTGAGAAACAACCATAATTAACTTCAGAGAGAACCAGGAAGATCTTCCATCTTCATGGTGCCTCACTGTAGCTCAGGAAACACACCGAATTAGCGCTCGCTGATCAGCTGTTTCCTCCACGTATCAGCTGCTCATTTATAAAGGAGGCCTCCAGTCATATTCATCCATGTGTACATTGCTGTGTTTATAAGATGACAATCTTATAAACACTCTAGTATGACTTGTGGCTGCAGCTCCATCCTTAGCTAAAGTGTTCTTCTTACCTGTTGATAACTCTGTTATGGTTGTTCATTTAAGTTTCTCTGAATTCTGTCTGACATGTCAGGCCTCTTCATGGAGCCCTCTAATGGAAAACAGTTGCTTTAATCAAAGGTAACTGTAATCCAGGTGATATATGCAAAATCTGAGGCGATACTGTACATTTACTTTGTCATAAAAGCATGAAACTTGGTATATTTTTACAATTTAGAGCCCTGGACATTTTTAGAAATGGTTCCATTGCAATAAACAAACATGAAAACACAGGAAAGGTGATGTCTGTCGCTGTTTTGATGGTCATTGATAACAATTACAGCATTAAACCATTCAGGTAAATAGTTAACGAGGAATTTAGAGATGCTGTGAGAACGAAATCATAACATCTCGAGAACTTGGGCTAACTTTTGTAAAATCATGTCTGTTTCTGCACATTTTGTAGAATTTGAAAAGCTCTGTTGAATCATTCTGACAATACAGTGGAAATGAAGAGTAGAAAAAAACTCAATATGACCGTCCTAGCCTAAATAAATAAATTACCTTCATGTTTGGTCTTTTTTAACCTACTTTTTGTGTCTGACACAGAGCTGTGCACGCGAAAGAGGCTTTCTTGCATTAGCTATGCCCCCAGCAGCCTTTGTTGCAGCCACAGCTTCAGAGGTCAAGGATGGTTTGGCTTTCCAGTGAAAGAGTTACCCTTGACCTTCAAAACACATGGGCACACACCAGCTTTTTTGTGTTTGGTTCAGGATGAAATGCAAAACACTCGATTTGGTTATGGCAGACAGTGAAAGAAGTTTTCTAAAGGTGGCTCCATCTTTGAACGTATCCAGGGCCCCAAAGTGTATCATTTTCACGTATCACCTGGACTACTGCAATAATAGGTCAGCTCCCTCTTTAAATCTCTTTTTATGGTCCCCACAAAGATGATAGAAGTTCTCATGAAAAGAAAGAGAGGGACAGACTGATGGAGAAGGAGAGAGGGAGACATGGGGAGGGGAAAGGAGACAAGGATACATTTTCAGGATCTAATAAAAAGCAGACCTCACCCAATCCCCCTTTCCTCGGAAAGGGAACTAAATTCCCATGTGCATACAGTTTGCGCCCTCGTCTCTCCCTCACTTTCTCACTTGTTCTCCCTCTTTTTACCTCTTGCCCACACTCAGATAGGAAAGAGTGCATCAGTGGCATTACATGCACAAACAAAGCCTGATTGGACAGCCAGCACTGATGATAATATATTGAATACCACAATCAACCTGATGTTGCAAGCCTTTGTCTTTTTTTTTTTTATTCGATGCAGCTGATGAGACCCATATGTCTTATCTGTCTTTTTCCTGCAACAACACATGTGCCAACTCATATCGACACACACCAGACTCACAGGTGCCCAGCGGGTTCAAATCCACTAACATCTGGGGCCACCTATGGCTTTAAAAGGGTGCATCTCAAGTGAGATGAATGCTTGTTAAATTTCATGTGTTATTCACTCCTATGAGAACTCATAAAACAGTGATAGTGGTGAGCATCTGTCTCACAGTTTGTCTAGTTCATCTTTTGCATGTTAATACCAAATCCATTTGCTGGGACCTAATTAGAACCCTGTGGAGCCCCTCAGGAGCTCTATCACAAATGTGGGGGGAAAAAAATAAAATAAAATAAAATAAAATACAAAATTAGAAGTTTTTCAGGTAACTCACTGGAATTGTCAAAAGGAATCTGTCTGCAGCTATCAGGCAGTCCGGGCCAGGGGCAGTAATAGACGGCTCCAGCCTCCACGATGCCGGGCTGGGAGGTGTTCGCTTTAGGAGCCCCCACCAACACACTGAACCTGGCGGGCAGACAAAAACGACAAACCAAGGTACATGCAAGGCATGCAGGAGTGGGTGCAATGCATTATGCAAACTGGGACAGGCGATGCGTAAAATGGCTCATTCATACATGTCAGTTTCTCTTCTGTCTCTAAATGTTGCTTTACTCTCTGCCCATTTGTACTTATTCTGGCCCACTACAGGATAATATTGTATTCTATTCAAGTGCAGTTAGAGCAGAACTTCTGCAGGACCCTGGTGGGACACTTTCTGCCACTCACGTGTTGCTGTTGGCGGTAGCTTGGTAGAAGTCCACAGAATAACCGAAATAACTTCCATCGGGTCCCCTGTAAACCGATGGATGCTCTGCGTAAAAGTTAAAACTCCAAACTCCACTCAGCGCCGGCCAGAGCACAGACAGCAGCCCCAGAATAAACATCCCAGCGGAGGAAACGCAGTCCTTTACGCGCTCCATCCTAAAGAGCAGCAAGCGTCTTTACGCACTTTCCTCCCCCCCCAAAAAACTAGAGGGAACTCAGAGAGACAGAGAAGGAGAGTTTCCTCTGTGCAGGTGAGCTACGTTTGTCCCGAATTTGAGTCCGCCAACTGCCTGCTGCCCCCCGGATCCCTGCGTGCGCTCTGCTGCTGCGCGCCCCCACAACTGCGTCCCGACACCCTCAAACCACCAGGTCTGCTCTGGAGTCCTCAGCTACAAGCCTACCCAGCCGCGCCCCCCGCCCCCTGCACAAAACTTTACCCCCTACACACACATTGCACGGCACAAACCACATCTGAGCGCGCGTACGAGGCTGGCGCGTCACGGCTCCATTTATGGCACAGGCTTTTTTTCCCCCTGTAGCATCCCGAACCAATAAATGATATTAAAGATTACGCAGAGACTCAGTGCGCGCAAATACTAATTTAAACACCTTATAGTTGACTTTTTTACAGGCCAACCATACCGTTAAACCGGCCTGCATTTCCTTCCTTTTGGAATAATCGCTTGTAATTATGTCAGTAATTATTATGTCGGCTTACAGCAGAAATCTCTTAAGCTGCATGTGCAAGTTTTTCTGGCAGTTCAGCCCCGCTCACCGCTTCACTCAACACCAAGTGATTTCCCCCTTAAAACCGCAGAGGTAACATACTTCTCTCCTGCTGAAAATAATATCCTGCAATGAAAAAGTCTTTTAAAGAGGTGACAGAGCCAGACCAGGCTCCTCTTTTATTTTTGTATATTTAGCCCAGCACACTTCCAAGCAACAAAAACTCTCTCAGTGAGAGAAAAAAAAAAAGGAAGAGAGATGGATGTTGCACCCACTTAACTGAATTCCCAATCTGCTGTTTATCATTGTGGGGACTTTGTTTTAATTAAACTGAGCTTTATGGGGTGAATAAAACACTACAAGCAGCCTCAAGCAGCACCACACTCACTGTTGAGGCTGTTTTCTGTCAGAAGAGTTGATAAAAAACAGGTGAGGAGAAGAATAGAATCAACTTTGACCTGCCAGGTGGAGAAGTTCTTCACCTTTCTGCACCTTACCTGCCCTCCTCTCCTGCTCCATCCCATCCATCCTTATGTTTTATTAACATATAGTGTCCACACATGTTCCTGATGCCTTATGTGCAGCTGTGGAGTGTGTGTGTGAGAGAGGTTGGTACAGGGAAAAGGGAAAGGATCAGCTTTTTTCAATGCAAATTTAAGATAAACAGAGAGAAAAACCCTCCAAAACACAAGATGCAGACACAGATACTTGCAAAAGAAAAGGAAAAAGATGCTGCAGATGATGGAGTGAGGAGGAAGCGGGCTCATTCCTGGTATTTTACTATATTATGATACCATTTACCAGGTAACTAGTGCTTTAATGCAGCTCGGGTTCTTCAAACGTATGCACGGGCGTCCCATCTGTAGTCATTTTCCCCACTTGTCTTACATCCAATAAAAATTCTCACAGATATCCCGTTTCCAGGAATACACACATTAACTGGCATGCTGTTCAGGTTACGTGCTGTCAGCCTGCCAGCGTGTTCTGATCACAGATTTACTGCCGGTCATTCTGGATTGATTACTGCACATGGAACAGTAGTGGTTTCTATCTTAACGCACTGCGGCCGCATTCTCCTTCTCTCTTTACAAACTCTTAATGAGACTGTTAAGCGGAGTGTTGTGTCAGATTAGGTCCACATCCTTTATCCATTAGACAAATCCATTAGAGGCATTCGCAGGCCAACATTACGACACTCCGGTGTGCAGATGCAGAGAGGAGCAAGTGCTTTCTGCACGCATGCACATACAACATTAAAGACGAGTTAAGGATGCTGAGGTCGTTCCAAAGTCATGACTAAGTACCAAAAAGCCAATATGGATGCAGTTAAGCCCCAAATTATTCATAAAAAGTTTGATTTAGTGATTTTTTTTATTGACCAATAGGGTTCTTCTGGCTGGAAATGACAAGTGACAAATGACAGTAAGACATTGTGTTAGATGACAATGTTAATTACTTGTTTGCTTTTCTTCACCACTTTGGCTGCATGTTTCATATCGTCGTCTTTTTGGAAGCTCCAATGCTGCCCAAGGAGCAGTGTTTCTGCAGACCTCCTGATGTTCTCCTCTGTTCTCATGATGCCGTTTCCTTTGACCAGGCTGTCTGGTCCATCGGCTCAACAACAGCCCCAAAGCATCACATTCCACCACCATGTTGGACTGTGGGGATGCTGCTCTTGGCCTTGAATTCTTCTCCTTTCTCTGTGTCCAAACATCTCCATGTTCATGAAGTGATGAGCAGCAGCTTTCTTCTTTGTCCTGGAGAAGTGGATCCTCCTTGTCTCCATGGAGACCAGCCTTGTTGTTGGTCTGCTGGAGTGTCTGATTGACATGTTGCTACCAGAACTGCTCACATTCATCAGGATGCTCTTGGTGCTGGTCCTTGGGTTCTTCTTGGCCTCCATCATTCTTCCAGTGCAGGGCTCACATCTGTCTTTCTGCAGCCCTTTGACATGTTTCACAGTGTGGAACTCCTTGGACTTTATCATGATGCTTTGCTCTGTGGGCACTTAAAAACACTTGATATGACTTTATATCCTTTACATTTTTCGTGAGCAGCAGCAATGTGCAGCTATCTCTAAGTGATGGACCCTAACAGCAGCTCACTGAGCTCTTTGGTTTCAGCTATGAACTATGAAATTGTCTAATAAGTGACCACAGAACTACTGCATTAGCTGTTCTCAGTGTATAGTGTACTAGAACGCTCTATGGCATGGCGGAAATCACCAGGACCATTTGGAATAATGGAGAAGCTGCATTTCTCAAAAGAAAATCAGTGACAATTTCAAGGGATATTCATACTTTTGAACGCTGCAATTTTAGTAAATATGTAAAAACAACAACATAGAAATACTTTACATTCATTGCGAACATCTCTACCACTATGTCTTACTGTCAGAACAAGCCTACAGGTCAACAAAAAAAGTCACTATAAGTTAAAATTGGAAGGGATATGATTAATTTGAACTTGGCTCTATGAGGTAATGTACGGTCAGTTCCATTTGTCCTGTTTCAGTACATTTTGGCGCTGAGCAAACATAAACATACAGTTTTCTGTTTTAGTAAGATCAATTTCTGTTTATAGAGCGGCACTTTAAGTCACCATCCGTGTCTTGCACATTCAGTAAATTACTGATTTAGAGCCTCTCTGGAGACACAGAAAACAAATTTGTATGTGATTTAGTGATGAGGCTCCAGACATCTGAAACCTAAGGTCGTCCCACGTCGGGTAAAAGACACGATATTTATGAGAAAAAGACACCGAAGAAGCCCGTGTCTATGATTTCAAAGCTACCAAACCACACAGCATTTGAACAAAAAAAAAGTGTTTATTCCAGAACCTTTGAGCGTGATAATAAATACATGAGCACGTTGCCAACATCCTGGTGTCGTGCACGGAGCGCGCACATACACACACACACATCATAGAGCACCTGAACCAGCTTCACCTGGGTTAAAACACTGAAAACCTTCTGCTCAGATCTCTGCGTCTGGGTTGGTCCCTTTACGCTGTAAACTCATAGCAGTGGGAGTGACTGTGTATGTTTGTGTGAGTCTGTCTGTGTGTTTTTATGTGGAAGGCTTTGGTAGGTTTTTCCCTCTAACAGTCCTGTAGCTGGATTAACAGTAGTGTCTCACAGTCGACTGGCTCTATATGTGGTTCAGCATGTGATTCGATGACAGACTCCCGTCGAATCAGACTAGTTTGTCCTCTAAACAGTTTGTCTACTGACAAACTGTAGCTGAGGTGTCGGCACAGAGCAGAGCTGTAAAAATAAACAGTCCTTCTTTTTTTTTTTTCTTTTTAAATAATCACATCATAAACATCCTGCGTGTCGATTACAAGCCGTGGTGAACAGACAATAGCGTTAGCTGTAGTTTGCATTT